TATAAAAAGTAATATTTCGCAACTTTGACGATGTAGTATGCTTCTTTCAACATTTTTATGCAATTTTTGTTGAATAAGTTAAGCATTTTTTTGCCTATTAAGCCCAGAAAATCAATTTTTATTTGACCCCTTTAGTGCATGTTCGGACATACGTTTTTTCAGTTTAGTTCGCAGTTTCGCCGCTAGATGGCGCCACAAATTTTCTCCATGAAATGACATTTTTTTTATTTTCTTTAATAATGGTCGTAGCGGGCTATAATTCGATTCGTTCGATTCCTTAGGCGACAATGAACAATTTGTATATCTCAGAATTTCGGAAAAGTGCCTAGTTTTCGAGAAAATCGAAATTTTCGTTTTTCGTAGTTCCGCCGCTCGCCGCTAGATGGCGCCACCTGTACCGTTTTGGACCGAATTCGACAAAAATTGATTTTCTGGCTTTATTAGGCATCAAAACGCATCAAACCCTAATAGAAATTTGTTTCTAAATGCCTCAGCGACCATACTGCGTCGTCAAAGTGCCGAAATATTGCACTTTGTATGCTCAGTAGAATTGACATAGGCGGCTCATGTACGTATCGCAAGGCTGCAACAAAATAATTAATTACTCATTACCCGAACATTATTTATGAACTTTTATCATCGAACCATGTAAATAATGCATTGCTGACAATTCTTTACTCATAGGAGTTCATAGGTTGTGCTCAGAAAGTGAGTAATTAACGATTTTGCATACTCATTATCGTATATATTACTCCTGCGCGCCACCCGCGCATGCCATGGAGAAATAATTACCGGAAAACCATATCCCCGTAGACTTTAATGCAAAATTGAATTTGCTCGCGCTTATGTACTTGACTTTTCAACTTTTTTGTCCATGTTTTTTTCTTGCACCACTCAACCAGTTCAACCGGATGACATGGTTGACTATTTTTGCTTTAGAGTGACATTTACTCGCTCGCTCAACATTGTTAGGTTAGGTGCGGAGCGCCTCAATCAAACAAACCTAGTATATAAGTATTAATGTTAAATTAGTTTGTATATATAATAATAGATAGGATGAACATAAAATGATTATTATTACATCTATTTAATGACATTTATTTCAAACAAATATAACACAATGAATATCATTAAATAGAGATAGTAGTAGTGTAAAGTTTTATACATATATCTTTCATATGATGTTTGAAATAAACTATCACTATTAAGAGGAGTTATTTTATTAAGTTTTCTGTAGACATATTGTAATTTATCTAAGATTTGGTTTTAAAATAAGGAAATACATTACAAGAAGGATTAGATTTTAACATTAATCTAATTTAATTTTATATTGAACAATATTTCATATTTTTTTGAACATGAATGGCACAGTGACTTAATATAAATATAGAAAAAGAAAATGCTTTTTTTTTAGTGCACCTGTAAAACATTCATTAATAAATTATTTTCTTGTGCGATTATTCAATAGTACTTTTATAAAAGGCACAACATTCTATTTTCAAATTTATAACATCAGTAAATTTTCCATTTCACTGAAAATGCACTAGTTATAAAAATAAACATTACTTTATCAGATAACTTATGCAACTCGTATGACGAGGTACAGAACTGCGAGTTTCATTTAATAAATGTACTAAGTTTTAATATATTATCTCTTCTTAATAATTTTCCGCTGTAAATCACATTGAGTAAGGCTGCATTATGTATTGTACTTTACACGAACACTTCTTCCTAAGTACATAAATACTTCTATTAAAAACTTCTTTCAGATGTTATGGAGATGCCACCTAAATATAAATGAAAAAGTGTAATTTATTGCGAATATCTTGCATTTAAGACGGCTGAATTTGTATTTACCACTAGTAAATGTCCACTTTGTCTGTTTTTACTAATGGCTGGTGTTGTACCAGTCCTAAATTCAATTACACCTTCTTTTCCACTGACTAGTTTATGTGAGACCCTGAAAAGTAAAAATACAGTTAAGAAGATTAATTTTAATTTTGCGAAAGATCGAAGTACATAACTTATATAGTCTGTCATTAAAATGTATGTAGATGTAATCTTCAGTGTACTTACGACTCTGTGTTGACAATTTTAAGAATATTTCGATTGTTGGTGATATCAATTGCCTTTGTTAGCGCTTCTATTGTATGCGGTAGTTCCAATATTAAATCACCCTGAATATGATACAAATTTACAAAACGATAAATACCATGATTGCCATAAATATCAAATATTGAAAAATATTTGCTTTTTTTTAATAGTTAAATAGTGACAAACCTTATCCTTTTTTAATTCAGGTGGTATCCTAACAATTAATAAGTTATCTGATTCTCCAGTGACAACCAGTTCCTCAATAGATTTATAAGGTAATCGATGCTTAAGTTTAAATGTTTTTAAAGTATCTAAAATATATACTGCGTTTTCCGTTAAAATTAGTACTCTTTCACGAGGTTTGTAACCATGCCGGTCATATTTGATAACTGGAGTGGCATACTATAAAATTCAGAGGTACAATTATTATGTTAATATAGTCAAAAATAAAAAGTAAAAGACGTAGAAGAAATATTACTTTTATAGTTTCATCCCTAGGAAGGATATTATTAATGAAACTCTGTCTCAATGCTTTATGTTCCGCACCAAGTCGATCATTTTGGAACCTCGGTCCCAAGCTTTTGGCATACGATTTCTTCTTTCCTTTGAATAGTGATTCGGCTAAAATTTTCAATTCAAATTGTTCTTTGTCTTCTTTCGACAAGGCCAACCTATACTTCCGTGCTTTCCATTTTTTATGAATAATGCGTAGGTGTTCAGAAGCCTAAAGTTAATCACCATTAATCGTCTTCATACAAAAAATGGATCATAGTAAATTGATTATAAATCTTACTTCTCGACATGCGTACGGGCAAGGAGGCCAGGAATTATTTAAAACACCTTCTGGAAGATTTTTAGAAAGCTTGGTTAACCATTGGAATTTCGCTAATTCAATGAAAGCCACATTAATCTCGGTGGGTGGTCCGTTTCGTGTGATGAATCCTTCAATAAATCTAAAACAAAATGATATAAACATATGTCCTCAATATGCTTGGTTTAAACTACCATTATCTCACAGTACCTTCGAATGGTAATAACAGCTTTTCTTCTCCTTTCAGCTTCCTGTTTCGCAAGCCACCTTCGTATATATTTTTGGAAGACTATCGCTGCTTTCTTCATTTTCAAATATCTTCGCCTCATAAGTATACATTTCCATTTACTTTGAATGATAGCAGCTATCTCATGCTTCTTCATCTGGAAGGCGTCTTCAGTGTCGAACAATGTTTTAGGAAGTCGGATGAACAACTTTGTGCTGTACAATAAATTTTATCCAGGTTTAGAAGCGTTTCTTGAACATATCTCTTCGTATTTATTCTTTGAATAGTTCTTACTTGCCCATCCTATATTCGTCCTGTTCAAAACCAAGGTGACATACAAGGATTTGAACACCTTCTTTAGCTGGACCATGATAATTAGGCCAAGTTTGTGGACACAAAGATTTGTAACGTTGCAAGAATTGTTCATATGGTCTCCTATAGGCAAAACCAGCTCGCCTTACTCGTAAATTCTCCATAAGACCTAAATACTTTACTTGATGTAGTACAATCTTGTCCTTGAATTGATCTAAAACATTGAAGTTATTTTTATATAAATACTCTGTTTTATGATGTAAGATATACTAGCTTCTTGTAATTCATGTGACTTACTGGCCATCTTATAGTCATTAGGTTTGATACAACGGATGTAAGAAGGTTCCTTGCCCATAAGGATCTCCACAAGATTGTTCAAACTGTTCTTAAATTGTGTAATTGCGGTGTCTGGACGCTTCTTGCTGGTTAAATCTTTTACATCAAATACATTCTACAAAATGCATATACTTTTTATCTACACGTATCAGTAAAGGATATCCATAAAGTTATATTAACGAAAATACCTTGATGATTGTGTTCTTTGTATGGGACATAACTTCACGTAAATCTCTATATAATAAATCATTATTCTTTTCCAGAAATCCCCGCACGTTGTATGTTACGTCGCCAGCGTAATGCACTAATCTAAATTCCTGAAATATACATTTATATTGAAAAAGATCATATTAGAGAATTTCTTGTTATACAATCGAGGAACTCTCGTCTTACATCTCGTCCCATAACCTTTTGCGTTTGTAAATCTGCTTTCATGTGGCTTATGTAATGAGGATGATTGTTTAGGTTTACGTTCAACTTCTCCAGGAAACTTAAGTCTGTTGGTTCTCCAGGTCGAAGACATTCCTCATCCATTAAAGATATTATTCCTGCAGAAGTACATTAAGTGATGCAGCACATTTATCATTACTGGTCATTGACCTGTTATGCTAATAGTAACAATCATCAACAATGAACTATAAGGCGGAATACCTTTATATTTTTCTTCGATCAAATCACATATAACTTTGTTATTAAAGTATTGAATATTCTCCCAGGCTATTCCTTCCCTCAAGTACTCTTCTTGCTCTGACTTCAGTGTCAACTGGATGAACAACTGCTGTAACTTCTCGTTGCAGTAATTTATGCAGAATTGTTCGAAACTGTTAGACAATAATTTCAATGAGTACTCAGTAAAAATGTCAATTGATTTCAGGAATATAAGTACCTGTTCTTTTGGAAAATTTCAAAACCGTAAATATCCAGGATACCTATGACCATGTTGCGCCGCCGACTACTAACTGGTTGCAATGATTTATTTAACCTGGTCACAAGCCACGTGAACAATCTATCATATACAGCTTTCGCTAGTGCGTCGCGTGCATAGATTGCAAATTCCCTGTTCAACGGAGAAATGACTACGTCGCCCCTAGCATCTATAGTGCGATGTGTAAAAGCTTGTGCCAGTTGGTTCAAGTCGCAGCCCAATAACTGTGAGTAAAATTGAAAAGAAAATAAGTGAAAAAAAAATAAATATTAAGTTTGTTTCAATATACTTACAGTGGCAACAGCTTCGACGGAAGCTGGCTTCAAGATTTGAGCGACACCATCTTTTTCAGTAAATCCAACGTTTCCCATGTGTAACACGGATGCGACTATTGCAAATAAATCATTCTGTTCGTGCTGACTCATCTCCATCGTCTTCATAGCTTTCATTACCTCTTTATACTGAGTCGCATCGTCGATCGTGTCTACCGTACCTTTTGTCTGGAAGTCAATTATATGATTATTTGTTAATTATGATTAACCGATTGAAATAAATAATACGTGTAAATTTTATTCTCAGCCATGTCGTAAGTGAAATGACAAGTTTATTTAATCCTTCATAATACATAGACTTACCCCGTTGGTCAGATAATAGTATGTATCTAAATTTCTTTTCAGATATAAATCTCGCAAAGTCTCTTCGCTTGCTCCAGCCAATAACTGATAGAAGATATGGAAGTTACGTTCTCCAGAAAATTGATGAACTACTCTCGACTTTTCTAGTAGGTAATTCAAGATGTTCCCACCGACTGGATCTCCCTGAAAGAATAATATAAACTTATAAAGTCTGTTGTTTCATTTGGATGATCATATGTAGAAACTGGCATAGCTTTGAAAGTATCACTGATGATAGAAAAAGCAGAAAGCTGAACAAATAACAGACAGTGAGTTTTATTTGTACCTGGAAATTAAATTGGATATCCATGTACTTGCCGAAGCGGGACGAATTATCATTGCGATTAGTTTTCGCGTTTCCGAAAGCTTCGAGGACGGGATTACTACCGATCAATTTCTCGTTTACTTCTTCTACTTGTTTTTTGTGACCGGTCGCGGCTGCGATAAACTCCAGCACCTTCTTCGATGCTTCGGTCTTTCCTGAACCGGATTCGCCTACGCAGCGAGTTCAAGTGATGTTAAATCTATCTTCAGCGTCGCTTATTTGATTGGTTACCAGAATTTTCATGCATTTCTTATTAACATATTGACTGCAATCGATAATAAACGTGGTGTACGTATAAATTATAACTAGTTAACACATTCAGTGCCGTGAGAGCATATTACAGTAGATTCCCGTTATATTACTATCGATGGGACAGCAACAAGCAATTTAACGCATGAAGAACCCAGCATGTGGCGATACAACGCATAGTAATACAACACGTGATAACATAACACGTATTACATAAAAAGTAGTGTAAAAGTTCTTATAATGATGGAAATATAGCGATAGTCTACCATGAGTCCATTTTCCCTACAACGTTCAGTGTATCAAATAATTACATTACAATGTAATATATTATTGTCAAATATTCTCTTGCAGGAGTCTAATATAATCAAAATCTAAATTCCAAATAAATAGGATTTGTTTGTTTAAACTTGCTTCATACCAGAGATGAGGATACATTGATCCAAATTTTCTTTCAACAAGGACTGATAAGCGGTATCTGCGAGTGCAAAGCTGCAATAGAAAATTATCGATGAATAAGTTATTAAAAGATAAACATTTTTGCTAGATTGTCATGATCATGTCTTACATGTGTGGTGGAGCCTCAAAGAAATTTCTACCGTGATAGTACTGGATCGTATCTGGACTATAAATTGGAAGTTTTTTGTAAGGATTCACGGATACGAGTACCTGACCTATGTACGTCTGCAAAAGGAAGATTTTATGAGAACGATAAACGAAATGGTTGTTCACAGAATTATCCAGATATTATTTTTAGGATATTTATGTTTTCATTTATGTTTTTATTAATAGTAGAAAATAAGGCAGTGTAAATGCATTTTATGGATGTAGATTTTAACTTACGTAGATCAAATCCTCTTTAAATCGTTTTCGCAGATTGTCAATAAACGCTGCCTCGTTCTGGAAATCTTCTAGGAGAACGAAGTCTTGGACGCCTACGCGGTCACGCTCGTGAAGACCACGTTCCATTTTCCTGCGTAACTCGTGGCCAGTCCTGGGGACTTCCGGTGCTTTACCGGAACTTGTTACTCCACCTCCAGTGTCGGATACTGCGTGATCCTCGCTGAAACAATTTTAAAATGTATGCATTAAAGTTTGTGATACTCTTATGGAGATATCAAGGTCAATATTTCAGTAGTTGTCTGAAGGTTTCTATTAAAGATAGAACCGTTCAGACCTTGTAGTTTACAAATACAGTTGTGTACAGATAAATTTATTCATACAGAATTTAATTTTTCAGAAAAATAATTTTCCTACATCTCTGCTTGAAACGATCTACGACTGTGCTAATAAAAGAGTTGAAACTCTCATGAATTTAATTATCGTTTACAAATGAAAATCGACGGATTTTACGGAATGAATCGAAAGAAGACAAATGGTAAAAACAATGAAACCTCACTAAGTAGAGGTATTCTTCATAAAACAATGACGAAGGGAAAATTCATGTGGATTGACCAAAATTTCGAAGCGCAAAATTGGTGAAACCGATCACGAATAAAATGTGTACGTCCCGTCACTCGATATCGAACACGAGAAAGTGCAGACTTGTAGTATTGTTCAACCACCGCGCCGGAAACGAAATCAACACCCTGAACTTCGACGGCGCTTCACGCGAGCGGTGTCGATTTTCCGCGTGCGGTCGCATCGTACAGAAAAATCCGCGAACAGGGAAGGAAGGAGTCTCGTTTCTTTCGTACACGGAATCGTTTTAATTTCAACGCGTTTTGCGTCACTTTCTTCGTTCGATCAAAATCTTACAATTCATTTAAAACGTAGGCCGTATAAAACGATGGAGCTGATTATGATACAAACATGTAGATCAGTTAGATTTTCACTGAAGTAAATCGAACGTGTATGGTGCAATTTCACAATTATATCATACTTCTCTTAACGACGCGTTAGCGTGAACTGCTCTTGTGTTTAGACCTCGGAAATAGTAAAAGATCGTCGCATGGCAACCTGACAGTTAAATATTGAACGATCATGAATTGTTGCGGGGCATTTAAACCATAATTTTATGATAGTTATGAGCATAATAGAATTTAATGGTCTAGTTGGGGTGTTTGTAAATTTCCATAATAAGAGGTAATTAAATAGGGATGGGAGAAGATGGAATCATAGTATAAAAAATGTATTGACGTCTATTTTTATCTAGTACAGTTGTTATAAAATCTTAAATGGTAGAATTCCTTTGATGCTATCAGCTCTAAGTGTATAATACATACTTCAAACTCAGCTATGAAATATTAAATTTTTCAGAGAGTGTCTGCACTTGTAACCTTGACGAACAAGTTGACATCCATGTGAATCGCTTATAAATTACAAAATTAAATTGTATCCAGCTATATCGATCTTCTAAGAATTTTTCTTGCATGATTACTGTTCAACTATAATTGAATTGCAAACGTCAAAGTTCTTGATTAGATATTGAAATAGTACTGATGGACGATAAAATTGTATTATCTAATACACTTTGAACAATTCAATTTTAATTCTAAAAAACATTATATAATTTGATGTTTTAACACTAAAATTGTTCAATACATTTTTTATGATATTTATTGACATACAATGAAAGAAAGGACAGGTACTTTGCATGTACTTTTCATGAAGTTTTCAAAAATTGTATACTTACGCCATGATTGAATGTTGTTCTATGCCCTGCAGAACGCCGAAAACAGATTAACGATTCGATTAATGATCCTGGGAGAACAGAATCGATGCTAGTGCTTTGGCAACTGATGCTCGTCGAGTTTACCCGTGAAATCTAGCATTAGTTTGCGAGATAAGATAACGGAGATATGTTGAAAATCAAAATCTCGATTTCCCTCGACAATAAAACTTGATCGATCGATCGGCAACTTGGAAATCAATTTTCTTGTTGGCGTGAAAAAAAAAACCTCTCGAAAAGTGTTGATATAATTATTTAGAGCTTTATGTAATTCTTTATCTTCCTTAGAACAATTCTACAATCTTAAATTTTTTAAGTCACAAAGGTTCAACGTTCAGAACTTGCAGAGATTCTTCATATTTGTAAAATGGTACCTAAACAAAAGAACGGTCTCATAGAACCATTTATAGAACTAAATTAGAAAGTTTGAAGAAGTGTTAAATTATTATTTCCATATTGTAATAATGATAGAAAGAAAGCATTGCATAATCTGTGATAAGAAAGACGCTACATTCATTTTTTTTATCGTTTCAATTATAGCATTCTATTTGTACGAGCACTTTTTCCACGTCGAGTATCGTATATCAAAACGAACATGTGTTACGCAAACATTAGTTCGATTTACCTATTAGTCCTATTAACCATTCAGCTACCATTTAAGGCGCAATGTTAGTCTCCTCTAAAGGAGACTAATTGCTGCGACTTCCCTTACGACACTTTTTCGCGATACCTCTCTTGCAAAACTGTTTTACGTCCTTTAAGCATGTTTGTCGATAAAAGTGCCTCAGAAAAATTGTACACGAAAAGTCTTTTACCATTTTGCGATCCGTGCCTTCGTTTTTGAGATACAAGCAATTTAAAATGAAATATTTAGACTTCCAGGACGCCGGAAGCGCGGTTCGCCAAGAAATCTTTCGTTCAATGCTCGTTCAATGGCGCCAAGTTTAAACCGGAAATTTACGATTTATAAATTGAGAATTTGAAATGTAGATAAACGCACAAATGTATTTACAACAAATTAATGTTCTTGCTTTATTTACAGGCGATATTAATAACTCTTGCAGAGAAGATATATTTGATGCAATAAAATTGCCCGAAGGAAGAAGCTTCAAGGCTGAACATACGTGATTCGCTCGAAAACTGCACTATTAATTAAGGACTCGTTGCTATTCCATAAACGTAGCCAACAAATCGCGGTCATTGCCGTTCGGAACGCTTCTCGGAATACAGATTCATCCTTTTTCTCTAATGAAATAAGATAATATAGGAGAAAGTAATTGCACAGGTAACAACGAGCTTGTAATTACTTCGAATATCATTCAAAATTAGGTTCAAAGGATTAAAACCCTGTCTTTCCACAAATCACTAATTGTACCAGTATTTTATTTATATTATATCGTTTTCGGAACATAAGAATGATACTGTGAAAAATTTAAAAATAATATAACATTTAATATAGAGTCTTAGAATCGTGCGTTAATTCCAGTCATTTTTCAGATTAGTTATGTTATTTATCTAAAGAAATAACATAAAATTCACATTTTTAGATGATACGTATAAGATAAATTTGTCTTCAACAAAAATACTATATCGATAATTTTGTAATCTTGTATCTAAAGTCTACTAAGTAAAATTATGTTACATTTTGAAATCACTTATTGTTTCAGATAAATCTTGATGCGCCTTCATCCACAAACATTCCGGAAGTGCCATTAATTAAGTTTAATTATGGTATAGAAAAGAGAAACCAGATTTTGTGCTCACATTCACGAATTGTTTGACGATATAAAAACGTATCACGAGAGGATTTCTTATCGATGCGAGATTACTTGTTATCAAAATATCGTAAAGTTCGATCAGAAGAGAAGACACTTGTGCGATATGTTCGTTATGTCCGCGTTCATGTAACGTGAAATTTATTGCGAGCATTGTATAACATACGCGCACAAGAAAACGAGGTTCATTCAAAGTTACCTTGAAATCACGAATTTCCACGCTTGTCGATCGAACGACGTGACACGAAATTGTTACCCAGGAAATTATCTTGATTGGTCAAGATTTTCGCTCGCCATTTTTAAATGTACCTTTTAACTTTCAAAACGAAAGGCTACGAATTAACTTTGTATCAAACTGAAAGGTGTTTGAATTAACTTTACAGCAAAATAAGAAAAACTTAAAATTTCAATAACATCTCAAAAATTAAATTGCACCACTATGGCAACTGATTAATTACATAAACAATTTTTGTCTAAAAAAATTTTCAAACACATCTCAACTTTCACATTCGACTGTCATCTCTTTCTGTGGAATCAGTCATTTTTTATCTCAATACAAGCAAAAACTCGAAGAAGTCGCATTCGCACGTGCTTTTGATAACTTCTGATTATCAATTCCCAGTACAAAGTTTCTCAAGTAAGAAATTTCTGTTAATTTCAGGGTGTATTCTCGAATCCTCGATTAGATCGATCAACGTCACAAACGATCACTATACAGAAGAATAACGAGCCAGCAGATCTGCCAAAGCAACTCAGCATCACTTCCGGATACCGTTGTTTGTATAACGATCGTACAATTAACACAGATTCGTAGCAATTGACACGTTCACAGAGAGATCGAAGCACACCGGAGGAAGGATCGGTTCGCCCAGCGTCTCTACTCAACAACGACTTTACAGTGTTCACCTTCGGTTTATCACCACTGCTACGCGATTTCTCCTACCTCCTCGCCATCGCCCCATTATCCACCGCTGATACGGGATTGAACTCAGGTGAGTTTAATGGAAAATATATTGATCATTTAGTAATTTCCTGAAAATTTTCGCTAAAGATTGACCCATTTTCAGCCGATTGTGTCGACATTGATTGCATTCTGAAGTACATGTCGAAAATGAGTTTTTTCACTGATGATGGATTTGAACATGGTAAGGAAAAGGAGAATGCATCTAATCTAATCTAATCTGTTTGGACTTTTCGCAGACCATTGCAATTATAACGCGTAACGACGGTATTTGCAACGATACAAACACTCGATAGCAACTTTGCAGCCGTTATCTTGACGTTTTTTATTTCTTGTACAATCGTACTACAATAACTTTAAGGTACGTGGAATGTATTGCCTCCGTAGATAAGCACTTTCTAGCAAAGTGTGGGTTATTACAACATTATTTACGTAATTAGAATCAGACCTACTTATTCCAATTTTACCTGAGTTTCATGATTTCTGGATCTCTGAACTGACGAGGAGAAAGAACATCAACGAGTACTTTTGAAGAGAAACCGGAAGGAAAGCAGCGTAAAAATAACAACGGAAATTCAAATGCAGTCACAACGGACGTCGCGAGAATACTGGGACAAATGTGCCACGAGAAAATACAGATGCAACCTAAGCTTCTGTGTGACTCGTGACCTCTCGTTGTTATCGATACGAGAAGTCAATCGATGACCGTTCGTGGAAACAACATGCAAATAGTGATTCTTCCGACACGTAAACAGACGTTTAAGTAAACAAGGTCTAATTACATTGTCCGCTGCGACTGTCAAGAACGGTCCGCTTTTAAATTATGAAAACTCTTCAGTAGTTTTAAAATTTAAAAATAGAGAAATTTGATAAATTGGAAATGTAAGAATTTAAATATTCAAACTCTTCAACAGTTTCTTAATTTTACATTTAAAAAGCCACTGTTTCTTTTAGATAATCAAAAAAACGTCAAAGAGCGTGAAAGGCGGTCATACAAGGACTGATATGTTCTGCATCTAATCAATCCTTTTTGACGGGTCAATGACTGCGGTCGAACCATCACAATAACTCTATAAATCGCGAGACAGTTTCCGCGAAACGGAAGTCATAATGTTGTCGTTTATTACTCGCGTAAAGAGTTGCCTTCCGCTGCAACGGAAATTAGCCAATTCACGAGCCATAGGAATGCTTTGATCTCTCTAGTCTACTTTCCCCGAAGAATTATATTGTAATTTTCGCCCGAAAATTCGGCCAGAAGATTGTCAATCCTTCAAACGAAAACTGCGACGAAGAAACGTTGAGCTTACAATTATTTCGAGCGCTCCAACAACGAAACGGCGAGTGTACATATTTATTTCGAGCGACTGGAAAAATTGGCTGTGAACGTCCGAACGAGATTTACAAGCGAAACATACATAGTAGCTTCTCCCGTTTAAAACGCGAACTTTACGACCGCACGGTCGAATTGCAGCGGCGTTGTAAACAACAAGCGAAATTTTCAGCGGGAGCGAATGTTCCGTTGAAAAAGCAAGGTTCACGATCGGGGAATATATGATATAAATACACTGCGACCATTCACTGACGTTTCTGCGGAAGTCGATAAATCTGCAGTAAACTATAGTGTCTTTCCTTTTTTAATTGGTGATGCGATCGGAAATAATCTGTTAAACGCTGAGAATTAGATTACTACATGAAACCGCTACGCATTAGATTACTACGTTGTACCGCCTGCACTTTAGATTGCCACGCGCTGTATCGCCACGTGTGAGATTCCCACGCATTGTATCGTCATACACTAAATCACCACGTGTTGTGTCGTCACGCGTTAGATCGTCAAGCGTAAGATCACCACAAGTTGTGTCGCCATGCGTTAGATCACTACGCATTGTATTGCTACGCGTTAGAGTGCTATGCGTTATATTGCCACGCGTTAGATTACCATGCGTTGTATTGCCACGCGTTAGATCTCTATGCGTTGTATTGCCACACATTAGATCACTATGCGTTGTATTGCCACGCGTTAGATCTCTATGCGTTGTATTGCCACACATTAGATCACTATGCGTTGTATTGCCACGCGTTAGATCTCTATGCGTTGTATTGCCACACATTAGATCACTATGCGTTGTATTGCCACGCGTTAGATCTCTATGCGTTGTATTGCCACACATTAGATCACTATGCGTTGTATTGCCACGCGTTAGATCTCTATGCGTTGTATTGCCACACATTAGATCACTATGCGTTGTATTGCCACGCGTTAGATCTCTATGCGTTGTATTGCCACACATTAGATCACTATGCGTTGTATTGCCACGCGTTAGATCTCTATGCGTTGTATTGCCACACATTAGATCACTATGCGTTGTATTGCCACGCGTTAGATCTCTATGCGTTGTATTGCCACGCATTAGATCACTATGCGTTGTATTGCCACGCGTTAGATCTCTATGCGTTGTATTGCCACGCGTTAGATCTCTATGCGTTGTATTGCCACGCGTTAGATCTCTATGCGTTGTATTGCCACGCGTTAGATCTCTATGCGTTGTATTGCCACGCGTTAGATCTCTATGCGTTGTATTGCCACGTGTTAGATCACTATGCGTTGTATTGCCACGCGTTATAAAGTCACCACGTGATAATATACTTAGGAGTATGCCACTCATTCGTGTAAAAGATTAACATTACCTCAGACCCATGGTCAACTCCAAATTTATCAAATATTTTCACGTGAAACGACACAGTGGACAACTCGCGAAAGATTCAAAATACTGAATGAAACAGAATGCGATCCGTTCGAGAGAATTCTGGCAGATTTATCGATTTCGAGCAATGTTTCCTCTTCACGAAAGGGGAATCGATCTGAGTCACTGTCTCGGTCACGACCTTTCGCTCGGTGACTAATTTCTTGGATGATCTTATGCTAAATCGCAGCAGATACGCGTAAGCAACACAAGATAGAAACAATCGGTGTGAAGGCGGTTTTCATTGTTCCGTCCAGTCATGCACGATGCCGTCATACTCGTCAGACTTAAGTTGGCGAAACGCGAAGGAGGAACAAAGCTGCTGTCTTCGTCAGCACGAGCAAATGTTTATCTACTTCATCCTAATCTGTTTGACAGCTTTTTGAATACTAATTGGTAACATCTTTTTGTTTGCAAAAAGCGATGAGTCATGTGTTGCATTTGGATAAACTGTACGAGACGCATATGGTGTGTCATGAACTGCATTTATACTATTCATATTTGGTATTGAACATGTACGGTATATTATGGATTATTCTATGAAAGCATGTTACATCATAGACATAGAGTACATATCTGCAATATGTCATGAACTGTACTAACTATAAGACATAATGCGTGTATGTACAGTCAATTGTTATTAACTATAAGATCTTTATGTAGTCAATTCCTATGTAGATGATGTAGAACACACCTGTTACGTCGCAGACTGTGTCGTATGAATAATATAAGACGCACACGGTACGTCACACAGTGGCTATATGATACAGAACACATTATATTGCAAACTGTATCCGACAAGTACAATACAATGTGTCGAAAGTTTCGAAACACGTTAATGCCAATAGAAACGTGCTAAAAACACGTCAGTAAAATATGTCATAAGACATATTAACGATAACCTAGCGTTAATTATTGCCCCGTTACGCAAACATCATTACGATGATAAGAGAAATAATGACATGCCAACTGCGGGCATAGAAGTACATTGTTTAACTACTCCTTTTCGACCAGAATCATTAACTCTGCCGTTCAAGCCTCCTCCTGAAGTTAAAAATCTGCGTGTCGATCCTTTTACTCGCGATAGAGTATCGCGTTTCTAGAAACCGCATCTTCGACGGATACGAGTCGATTTTCTCTTATCTTCGACACGCAATTCGATCGGCTACACTTTCTAACGCGTTTACGCGTAAACGGGCGGTTATTGTTCGCGTATTTCATCGCGAGAAACGAGGTCGCATTCGTTCATCGACGACCGCGTCGCGTCATCTTCTGATGACTCAAAGGAAAAAGGGCCTTCGAGAGGCTGTTGGTCCCCTCACCTTCGCGAGGATCGCCATGAAAAATCGCTTTACTCTTCGGAGAAAGGTCGATTGCTGTCTGACGCATTTACCAAAAATATTACAGTTGCGCACAACATTCTTGGTCTCAATTCGATAATACACATTACTTATATTTTAACGTACATCATTCTATGTATCTCTCTTATGTATCAAATTCTGGTGGATTAAAGAACGTCGTGTGTAGACAAAATTATAAACTGCTATAATTTAACAAACTAAATGTAACAACGATATTACTCGAAACGTGTCTTTTATGGGAAATAAGAGTTCTAAAATTACCGATGATAAGCCTATACCAGTCTAAAAGTATCGAACGTTCAAGTAACCATTCAATTTAGAAACACTCGAGGGCATACACTTTCGAGAAACGTTGCCGTGGCTTACACCTCTATTTACGGTAACCAGACAGAGTTTTTATTTCCGATGAAAACGGCCGGGTTGGAAGGTCGAGGAGACTCAAACCCGTCGCCAGAACATGAAAGTGGTAAAATTATCATCCACGGATATAACTTAACCGACGTGACGTGCGTTATTGCCGGACGAAGGCGAACTCTAGAAAACGGAGGAATCGGCGATGATTTCACACGATCCAGTGAAAACCCGTCTTTCCTCTATGGGGAACCGACAAAAGGCTAACCGGTTTCCGGAAATGGGTAATTTCTTTATTATACTCATCAGTGCGTCTGATCTTTTTTATAGGTACGCGAGAGCCACCGGTGCTCGAGAATTAAAGGACTGAGGTCGTATCTTTACATATCTTTTATTTCAATACAATATGTTTCGGTCGCGCTCTTATTATAAATGGTAACCAACCATTTTGCATTAGGTATATCAACGAAATGTTTCGTTAAGCTTTAAATTGATATACCTGGTATTTTATGTCACAAAATGGTGTCAGACCTTTTACATTATTTGGCAACAACATCAACATAAAATCGTTCCCTCAAATCATGTCTAATTAATCGTTGTGATGTAACCATTAGATCATCGATATTGATCAAGCAACCTTCTCCAAACGAAAGGTGCTTAATGGTACACTATATGCAAATGCAGTCGCAATTTCATTTTGCATTCGCGACGGCGCGTGGCACGTTTTCGACCGACACCGTATGAACTTCCGGTTGCGTCCATTACCGGACTTGCAGCGCATGGTAAACGGTGTTCTCCTTATCTTAGCGATTAAAGGATGGCACGAGTCCCGCATCGTGGCTCGCGCGACATTTCCGGTCGTTGTTCCTTTTCCTTTCTTCGCAAGGATACGGTTAACCATTCGAACACGCATGCGCACTTCAAACGAAATCGTTTTACGACTTTCACGCTCGAGGAACAATCGGCGGGATCAGAAACGGTAAAAGTTACCGGGTCGTGGTCGCGCGAGTCGCTTAATTGCGAACATCTCCAATTAGACGGTTTAATTAACGCTCCACCCTTTTAATTTCAGTATGATCGATCGCGAATCGTGTTGAACGAGGCAGTCAAGCGTTGTGTGCCGTTGCGTTTGAACGAGCCAAACACGCGATATCGCGTTAAGCGTCGAAGTAAATACTGTATGAGGTAGTTCGAAAGTACGGGAGGGGAAAAGTAGTCAAGTGGAAGGTTTTAGGTGATGCGTGAATGTTGTAAGGTTGAATGGCTGGGAGCTCTGTTTTAACGAGGTTCACATGTTACAGGCTCTATCGAATGGAGATTAGTTTCTCTGGGCTATCAAAGAGAAACGACTGACTTTCTTTTTGCAGAGATGAAGATACAGGCTTCTGTTATCCATTACCGGCGTTTTTCCACGATTCGTCATACGATATGTTTCAGCCTGTTTCGCCAGCGTAACGAGACGTTGGTATTCTTAATGAACACCCAGTGTGTAACGTGTAACTCGTATCCGTCTTTACAGTTTGTAACTCAAGTCGTTGACTTCTTGCCATTCGACGTGTTAAAATCAAGATCCTTGCTCGTTCACGGCCACGTTGAATAACATACCACTACATCGTTTCGCTCAATTAATTCCTGACTCCTGCGACTCGTTCGGAAACATACAAATTCGTATAGGCGCATAGAACTACTGTTCGCAAGGACGTGTGTTAACAAACGTTGCAAGTTTTCTTTGAATATTTCCACGTTGAAGAAGTTCCACCGGACAAAATGATGCTGTCAGACTGATCATAAATACTGCGTTAACTCGACTTTCCACGCACGATTATTCGCACCTTGGCTTTTGAAGAGGCGCCAAATCATCAATTCATGCGTCTGAGCCGGCCATGATCCCTTCGGTGAAACCCAGTTATTCATTCCTATAATAAAATGTCATATTCATGCGGCACAAGTGACGCAACGATAACAATGAGCGACTTTCATTCCCTACGGATTCATCGACCATGACAGACAGTCCCATACGATCCTCTGTACTTATCGAAATAAAGAACATTTATGCGAAAGCTTTCTAATACCAGCTTTGGAGTGTACTCATGAAGAAGTCTCCAATGACCGCTTCGAACGTTGTCGAGGCTCCCGGTGTTTTTCCTACGACGCATCGCGTACGAAAGCCACATCGAAAATAGATATCTGCTTATTTCGGTGGATCGTCATCCCCTCGCTACGTTCTTTTTTCCCTTTTCTTTTTATTGTCTTCGAACCGTCCACCGCACCGTTTCGTTCGCGTCATGCACCAGACTTTGGTTTATTATTACACGCAGTTATTCTCACGTACCCTGTACGTCATATGCGTTTATTCTCTGTCCTCGTCCTCGCGATGCTTATTAAGGCTCGCGACAGAGCACCTTGAAAGCCCTGAACTTCAGCGCCGAAGCTGACTGACTCAAGGTCGGCCTGAATCAGAACCGGCCAACCGGTTTTTCGGAGAAGATTCGGAGAAGAACGTACGATTACGCCTCCGCGGGTCTCGAGCTGAACTTTAAATCTGGTTACCTGGCTCAGCTCCATCGACCGTCGGTCGTTGTAAATTAAATCGCCACTTTAGTTGGCTAGCTAGTCGGTTCTTTGCCCCTTTGTTTCATGTTCGTTAGGTTCAATGCGTTGACCGTCATCATGGAAGTCATTGAGTCATCGATAATCGGCGCTATGAGTTTAATACGCTGTGAAATGTGGGCCGTAGTTATTCTCTGCATGAATGAAATAAGTAAAAGTAATATCATTGATAATATTTAATATTAATTATAGCAATCAAAATCACTTACAACATTATTAATAACGATAGTACTATAATAGTAACGTCAAGTGGAAAATGGAGAACTCAAATTCCTCGCTCTTGTTCACGTTGTCAACTTTTAATGCGGGTCCCGGTAAAACTGGTTACAAGGGAAAAAATGGAAAGTGGACCGACAGATAACGAAAAGTGGCTTGAAAAATGCTGAACGTTCGGTAACACCGGTTACACGTTGCGGGTGATTAAAAATGTTTTTAAGAAAACTCGTTGTTACGTAATTTTAATATCGTGTTAGGTTCCATCGACCTTATGTGCGAGTCGCGATATTCGCGACCCACGAAATATCGTCAGAGCTTTCGAGAAGTCGCGTGAATCATATTGAAACTTTGAATTCAGTTACTACATACAGGTGCGCGATTAATAGCCGATGAAACTATAAACGTAAGCCGTCTCCGAGGATTTGTACAGAAAATATCCGATGGCTTTTGAGTCAGCTGAACGTAGAATGACTGGAATGCGCTAAAATCGTAGTTCTTCAATGTCATCATCGACAGGTTCCATTTGTCAAGTTACCATAAAACGAGGAAACATCTGTTAATAATGCAGTTATTCATAATTTGCTTGTAATTGATTTTCCATCATTGTCAAATGTGAGAATGAGATTACCTTTATTTAAGATCAGTGTATTTCAATGTATAATATAAACATAAAGCTAATCAAAATAATCCTATCAATGTTATAACATTAGTAAGATATATGTTACTGTTAACAAAGTAATTTGTGTAGTTTCGAAGTCATTGGTGTCATCATTGATAATCCATTTTATCTATTTTTTCTTGTTTACCAAGTAACTCAACACCGACTCACATTCAACATAACATTCCAATGTCGAAATTAACACTGAAACGTTAAAGTAAATATTGTAAGGTATCGTTATATATAGCGATAATTACTTTTCTTCTCAAATGAAATTTTATACTTATTTCCATCTTCCATGAGTCAGACGTTCAACTTTTACCAAATAAACGACACTTTAACTGAATAAGCGACGAGTAGACACACGTTTGACTCAGAAATAAACCTGTCACACATCAAACGTTAGCCAACCAAACCGCTAAACCTATTAAACCAAGAGAATCCCCATGTCTCCATATTTAAATAGGTTTGAAGTATAAAGAAACGTGAAAAAAACGAAAATGTCTCCAACGCTTAAGTTCTATAGGTTATACATCTCAGGTTGTATCAAAGAAAATAGCATAACCAAATATAACTAATAGACCTGGCTAAGTCTCGTATATCGCCCTCGTAAAAAAGGGAACAACATAATCTCTACCGTGACTCATCGTCTTTAATTGTCTTATCTTGCCTGCACTGACCGGTGACCAGGGTATAAGAACACATTTCAAAAGAGCAAAACAATCTGTTCGCAGCGAGACTGGTTCCTCTTTCTGTCTGCTTGATTTTCCAAAGCGATAAGTCGAGATGAAAACGAGCCAGTCTGTTCCCCTACAACATTCCCGCTAATTACCTATGAAAGTCTATTTGTAATTTCAAATACCACGCAACAAGGTTTTACTAATAAAAGTTACATCTTGTACTTCTTCTTTGCTTACTACCTGTTCTGCCCGGTTACGAGTGTTTCGAGGTCAAGATTCTTTGGTTAAACAATGACCTACAATCGCCGTCCCTTATGTTGCTTTAAATATGGCTGAAAACCGTGGAATACAGGTTCCACATTAGAGAATGAACGCTACCCAAGTGAGGAACAATGCATCGTTTTTCCTCCTGTTTCTTCCTCTGCTATTTCTTAGTAAGACAGTTCACTGACATCATTCCTGGAAATGCGACGATATCCTGAAATCTTTTACGCGAAATTTCCCTGAGAGTTCAATATTTACTTGATCGAAAGTGGGCGACGATTTTTAGAAATCAACCGATGGTTTGTAATTTTCTACTTTATTGAGTTACCTAATGAGCAAATGTGATGTATTCCTTTAACCTGTCATCAGTATTCAATTGACAATTCTTTTATTTTTTTCATTATAAAATAAAACTTTGTGTCATGAACGTTTATATATATAACGTTACTTTTACGTAACGTAATAAATTACGTTACTTTTCAGTTCTATGGAAAGTCGAACATGTCAAAATCGCTTGGGTATCGATAACAATCGATCAATGAAGAAATTCGACTTGACGATATTGGATAAGTATTATCTCGGTGGGTATAATACTGACGTCACCATCGATTGTAAAGAGTACAAAGTGTTATGTATCGATACCCGATCATACCGACTGATACATACTGGCAGATTATCGAACAATATAACCTTACACTTTGACTGTCATGGCGGTTACCGGTGCACAGTGGTCTGAATTTTGTATATTCATATAATCAGGAAAAAAGGAGAAAACACAAGCTTAATTAGCATTAATACTACATTCACAATATAAGGAAATGAAGTAAAAGTTCAAATTTGAAAATTAATCCTCAGTAAGTGGTGTTGTAATATCTGTTATCAATGTGCCTGTTAACTTATTAAACCGCCATTCCTTTTCCGTTTCCTGTTCTTATCTGTTCCAAAAATTCTGCGATATTTTTCAGGTATCACGTATACTTATAACGTACGGTTTTACGATTAAGACGGAACGTTTGAATAAAAGATAAGTGACTGATAGAGAGAATATCATAAATTATCATTTCTAAGGCCATTTTCGAGCGTTCATGAAATCGAACATTGTGTAACTTGCATTTCACGTGTTTTTAATTTTTTTTATCTAACACTTATGTTTCGTATAGAACATTTACTGAAAGTATAACATGGTAATTTAAAACTAACCTTGGCTGACCAATGACATCTTTATCAAAGCAGTTAAACCGTTAACTATACGTCGAAGTGGACAACGATTCAGCGAGTTCTCTGAACGTCACCTTAATAAATTCGCTTGACCCTTTTACCGAACTTCGGCTTGCACGTGGTCAATTATAGTTGGCTACGAATCCACTTCTAAATATATTTATATATCAATGGATATACATTTCGAATTTGAAAACGAAGGCGAAGAAAATTACGCGCCAATTTTGCACTCTTATAATTTTGTAGTAAACAACAAAATTACTTTAGGTATTTCCAAAGTACGAATATTAAATTTCTAAACGTCATTCTGTATTAGTATAGCTAATGTGTTTATTTTGCAATCGAAATTGCAACATAATTTTTTTACTAATGTTGCAGGCAAGGATTATAAAATTATACGTAAAAACCGGAGTTTAGAAAAAAGATGTTTTCATCACAATGTTGCAGACCACCTCGTGGTGCATCTGCAGCAATCCGGTGCATCATCTAATAAAAGCACGAGATGTTTGCGATTTCGTTTCAGTACCTCACGTTCCAGATGTCAATGACATAAAACACAGCTTGCACGCCTCCCGCAGTTCTGTGTATTTTCAACAAGTTTCACCTAAACAAAAACTGTACGGTATCGAGGAACTTTGCGTTACTTCAATCTTCATTTATCCATCAAAGGTGCAATTAACGCGTCTATTAATAATGAATGTTTTCTATTTAGACAAAAAGTTGCGAATATATATACAGTTAACACAAGAATAAGTACTTGTACATTTCTTGCACCTGCTTGGGCTCATATGACAATTTAAATAACTCAAAAATCTTGAAAGAAAATTAAAGAAATTGAACTTACGTTTCAGCTGTTCACTCTGTCGATCACGAGAATGTCACACGGCGCATAGAACTCGTCACATCACAGTACAATCACAAACGTCTAACAGCAGAACAAAGACAACGTCTTATTTCGAAACTGCAGTTTGCATTAAAACGAGTCCTCGTTATATACTTTTACTTTTATTTATCTCCGAGCTGAGCCTTGTCCACGAGGCCCGACTATTGGTTTGTACACCTGGATGACACCTGGAAAACTCGTTCCGTCGAAGGAAGCTACCGATCTCTCGGGGTGCCTTTTGTGCTTCGTCTTGAACTTATGTGGTCTTGTGTGCACACGCCACGGTGTAACACACGAAACTGCCGGCTCAAAGGAACTCTCTGTGCCGTAGAAAGAAGGTGGTGGAAGAAGAGAGTAAGGCATTCGTGAGCACAACAAAGAAGGAGAATAACCCATTCCCTCTGTGTGTGCATGTACATGCATGCACGTGTGTATGTATCAGTGCACGAGTAGCGGTGCATAGGCGTGAATGCACTGGAGGTTACTTTTTTGGAAGGATTTCGAAATCGTTAGGAAATAGAAGGTGCCTACATAGCTGTCCGATTTGTCTAATCTAGAGGGCATCAGAGTAGCAGTTTTGGGCCTGTTTCGAAAGCGTGGCGAAATTAGAGACACCTCGAAACGCGTTGCGGGACTGTTTGTATGTCAAGCGCGTTCGAGGTTATGTATATGGCTGAGCATGATCACTAATTTTTATAACAGAAATCCGTGCTTTTAAAGACGTTTCGAAATCTTGAAGATATCGATGAAATTTTTACATGATAATATTTTGTAACAGCACTTTATATTTGCAGGAAAGCAGAAAACAAAGTAAAGTTTCACTTATGATGAAAGATATATTTTTCTTATACCGTGGGCTCGCTATATGGCCCTTATCAGGAAAAAATTAAGTGAATCATATCATCAATAGTGTGACGTGTGAATTCTAAATTTCTAAGTTCCACAATTTGAAAGTTTCAAAGTTTATAAGATTTGAGCTTGAGAAAATTCCTATTCATCCATTTTGAATGTGAGAATTTCTAAATTTGAAAGTTTGGAATTTCAGATGTGCATGGAATTTAAATTCCATAATTAAAGGATTAAGAACTTGGCATGAATCTCCGTGAGCTAGACGTTTTTCGTAATTGGTTTAAATTACTGCTCACGCGAGCTCAGTTTAAATCGTCGATCTATATCTACTATCGCGGTGAATAAAAACCGCCATAAACGTCGCCTAGTACACAAAGGAAGCATTTCACGGAGTAATCTGGATGAATGGAAAGGCGGCGTGCAAGCAAGCATTTCCTTTCAGCGAATAAAACGTTACTCCCTAACGACCTAAGTGCACTTCCTGCATAATTGAGTGCACTCAACTTTGTTGCACTTCCGCGAATTCGTTTAACCAGTTCAGTGGAGCCAAGCAAATGATTAGTTAGGCTGAGGCCGATCGACCAGTATCGATTGCAAAAAACTTGCAAGCAAACAAAAAAGTATAAACATTGGATTATTTATTGAGTTTGCGAATGCGGACATGTAATAACTGCGAAGAGTAATCATACGCGGAAAAGTGCGCGTATTCGTAGTAATTACGAAGCTTGGCTATTTTAAGTACAACGTCTCGTGTAGGTGTCAAATTACAATTAAACGAGATCAAGTGCAGGAAAGGTGCGAGGTTCTGCTAGCCCCTTCCGTGACTATAGTCTGCTGCGATGATCGGTCGGCAAACTGCAACTTTACATTAGGAAGCCAAAATGTGCATCGCCCTTTCATGCCATAATTTACTTATAGTCCATTCTTCCGCGTCCAATGCACACATAGGCACACGGAAGTATCCGCTCACAAGAGAATCTATTACACGCTTCAGTATTGGAGAGTTGTTGCGCATACACAATCATTATACACTTCGTTCATTTAGCAATCAGTAAGATGAGTAAAATATTGTATTTTGTGCTGATTACAGGGAAGCAACGTGCTAGATTTTTTTAGAGAAAATGACAATGTAATGGAAGACGTTCTTCCTAGGTAACTATATAGAACTTTAAGATTTCCCTAGAATCTTCGTAGGTTCCGAGAGAATCAAAGAACCGTGATTGTACCGTGATTAGATTTTGCAGCAATTATATATTCATAAAAAAATACGCGACACGAGCCCTCGTTGAACCGGTATTTTAAGGCTGCACGCGTGCAGGTATCGTCTGTACGCGGCTTAATGTCAGCCAAGCGAGTTGGCACGAAATACGATAAATGCCACTTTCGGCCTGGAATAACCTATAGCCCTCGGGTACTCTCTACTTTATGATGATAACTCTGTAGGATTCGATGATAAATCCTCCTATTTTTTTAGTTTAAACCTTTCTTGCATTTAATACTGTAGAATCGTTAGAAATTTCTTCATTGCAGTAAATTATTATTTAATCTTCTGTAACGTTGAAATTGCAGAAGAAAGGAGATTTCGGTACCGAGTTACCTCTTGCCTTGCTTATACCATGAAGTCAACAGGTAACTTCCTGATTTCTTTAAACTCCAAGCGACTCCGGAGCCTCAAGGTACGCGGGCAAAAAGAACTTCCGAGGTACTTGACTTTCCATCATTAATCACGCGACAAACTTGACCAACAGGAATTCGATAATGAGATGAAACTGTTTAATATGTCCGTTTGTACATCTTTGGTTCATTCAACTCTTTTACAGCCTTGATACTGCATATTATTCTGCAGTTGTGCTTTTAACAATGAGTATAAATCTAAATTTCTAGTGTAATTAAAGATAACATCACACTATGCTTCAAATGTATATCCTTTTCTATTTCAGGTACTTTTTCAGGATTAGTTGATTGAACTATTATATTACATGTATTCATGTTCCAAATGAAAATATTTTAATTACAAGTAGCAGAGAGTTGTGATGCATGTGCATCAAACTAAACCCTACTGATGAATCTTTAACTTTGTAACTTCACCATCCCCATGCTCCAAATTCCAGTGATGATGAAGTAAAAATACATTGTACCTTAAGAACTATTCAGCGTTTCAAAACATATGTATGACTCACATCGCGGTTCATCGTTCCAGTGTTCCTGTTCTAACCCATCTAAATGCAAAGAACAAACCAATTGTCATTATTCTACGTGTGTTCCGTCCAGTGTTACGATAACTACCGCTATCGTAGTTTCGTAACCGTTAGCCAGACAACGTCGGAGACACGACTGCCGATGATCGACGTGTCCACCACGGTAGTATTCCTCCAATTAAAACCACGAAGCAAAACAGATGTTTTCAAACGTTTTCATCTTCCCGTTCAAGGTTCTGGAGACGACAAAAGTTCGAGTTAAGAGGCCATGGATCAATCTCGTGGATGCAAAAATACCATCAGCGTCCGCAGCCAGAGGGTTGCAGCAACTTTTTCGAGCATTTCCTACAGTGAAGAAGCTGTGGATAGAAAACGAACCGCAATAAAGTTTACAACGTGGCCCCGTGTATTTATAGCTGGTCATTTCCACGGGGATCCTCTCGTAATTTCCGAACCGAACGACTCCGTGTCCGAACAACGCTGCAACGGAAACTCGCAATTAGGGAGGCAGATATTCTTGCAGATTTCTGTAACATGCCATAATGAACGCTCGATATCTCGCAGAGTTCCTGAAAGCATAGAAAATTGCGGAATATTTTATCGTCCATATTTCATGATCCGCCTATTCCTCAAGGTCCTCCAGACAAATGTGAACCACCCTTGGTTGATCGAATGCGTTTTAATAATTGAACGACTTACATAGTTTCATATCTAACCTAGGCCTCCAACGTCTATTTTCACCTAACTATTTGCATGATAGTTCAAGTTGAAGCTGCTGTGTCCATTGATCAACCGAGCGATCGTATACCTCAACGCGACGTGTCAAGTTCAAACTGACGTAATGTCGAACCCACGTGGACGATGACCGAGACATGCCAGACGAAAGAAACGCGATCGAACATACGATGCGTCTGAATATACATAACAGTTTAGACATCGGTTTCGATCGGTGCTGGAACGTGTACTATAGGAAAAACCACCACCCAACAGCGAAGCAACCCTTGCGATATGTCAGTCGCGTGCCGTCTGTAGTTGCTGTTGCACGAGTTTCCGTTATCTGTCGCGGTTCGCGTTAGCATAACGTCATTGACTGGAAGTCTAAAGAGGGTTCGATGGGATAGCAAATGATTTATTGGAACCATTTGCAGAAGTACGGGTGACGGGAGATTTTTGAATCATCTATGAAAATTCGAATGTAAGTGGGATTCATCGGGTAAGGTTTTGAGATGTGTAAAGACTTTCATGTGGTCATCGACAGGGTTGTAGGCGAGGAAAATTCTTGGAAGTGGCAATATTGCTACACATGACGACATAACGCGTGACGGTGTAACACGTAGCGATCTAGCGCGTGGTTTTATAAATTATTCGCATTAGAAATTTTCTGAATACAAATTCTGTGTACTTAAATTACTGAAATATATTGTAAACGGTATTTCAATTCGACATTGTAATATAGCAGCGTTAAACCTCGCAGTTATCAAAATGTATCTGCTATTAGGGTTATAGTAGACGTAATATTCTAATTATAACTTTCTGTTATGCGCAACAAAATGACATAAACATTAATGGCAATTTTATTCTCGCGATTAAAGTAGATGTAACGCGACTTAGTTCCTTTATTTTCTTTCTAATAATTTCTCTGTTTGTAAAAAGAGCGTCAGTAGAAAGCAAAATCGTCTAATTAACAACGTAATACGCCACAACAGAGTTGTTTTATTTGTTCAGAAACTATTTTGCTCGCTCATTAATTTCGAACATTATCATCGGCCCAGAAAAACCGTCTTGATATTTGACCGAACGTTCTACGAAGCGGACAACGATTCTATTTGCCAATCTGATTAACTTTCACTTTCAGCGTCTTAACTACCGCGTTTACGTTAATTCTCGTAAAAACGAAAGGTGTAAAACGAACGAACCGAAACGAAGTCGCGGAACAACTGTCTTACGTGTATTTCTACATTTCTTTCAACTTTTTGACGCGAATCGTGTAAAAACCGGAACGGAGGAAGCTTGCCGAAACATTTCTCGACTTGAACTGCCAAAAAAATCTACATACTTTGTATAATCTGAAACTGGTAGAATTCCGAATTTATTAATTCGTTTTACTGTAATTACACCGAGTAATTTAGATCATTTAAATACTTAAAGCGTTTAAGTGAAATAAATTCGAAATGCTAAGAATACTCGAATTACCTGATTGGATCTGAATATTCATGATTCGTTCATAGATGACGAATGTTTCGGAATTTCTAATCGAATCGCAACCATTCAGTGAATAAAACTTTCGCTTCGGTTGCAACAACTAGTAATTATCATTCCATATATAACGCAGCTAATTAACTGATCTAGTGGTGTATACATTTTTGCCAGTTAGCTTTCGCTATTGTGAATCGAAGAAAATGAACCATTTCACTTCTCGATCCTCCATCACGGACAGCTTCGATTGTCCGCGATGATTTGGTATGTTTCGTGTGAATGACACCGATCGCACAATTGAAAATCAGCGAAACCTTGTTATATTCGAGCCTTATACATGATTTATGATTTTCAATTTCTATTATCGTAATTGATATTACATTCAAGACGAACTGAATAGCAACTCTTTGGGTCACGTAATCGAGGATCAGAAACATTTTACGAATGATTTATGATGTTTATCCACTTCGAGTGAGTGGATCAGAAACAATTGAAGATCAGTGAAACCCTGTTGCATTCCAACTGATCTATAAATTAATTTCTCTTGAAATGTTATTTTGGTTTCTATCGCAATATTATGTACATTGAAAGTACGTAGATATTTTATTTATTAATTTTCTTGTATTAAGAAGGATGTTGTACAAATATATTTGTTTGAAGGTGGACGAATGGTGCTAGTGAAAAATCCGTCGCCTTCTCGAGGCGAGAGTCCCCAGAAAGAGAATGCGAAGAAGGATAAAAGAAAGAGTCGCATGTCTCGTGGCAATAGTCCAGGAGACCAAACTACGTCCAGAGGAAATAGTCCAGGAAAGAATAATTCCATTGCCAAGAGAGTCCAGACAAAGAGTAGTTTACTCGGATCACGTGGAAGCGAGTAAGTGGTCTACGATTAACCTTTCTACTCGTTATCGAGGTAAAATTTCACGACAGATTTAATCCAAACTGTGAAAGGAAGGTTTTGCGAATGAAACATATCGTTAATTTTATGAAACACAACCATGTTTCTTCTCTAATCAGTTCGTCAGAGCTCGTTGAATAGTTTAGAAACTTTTAATGAATATTACGAATGGTGAAAGCTACTATATTTTTACTTTTATGGTCTTTTAAATAATTAAGTGCGAACTTATCTAGCAAAACACTTAAATTAATGTAGTGTTAATGAACCTTTACTGATCTAAAGATAAAACAGCTTGTAACAAAATATCACAAACCTTAATTGCTTTCCTCTTATTAATCTTCAGGTAATCTCTTCATTATTCAAGTTTACAAATTAAGTGAAGTTCATTTGATTAATAAACAAAAAATAATAATTTCTGTATATTTTTATCGAGAATCAATTCTCAGTACAACGATAAAAACCACAGATAATGGAAGCCAATACAGTTCGGTAGAAAACGAGTCTTATCGTCCTCAATCTCGACGATAAAGTCGTTTCAACATGTTCCTGATATTCGTGCCGAGAATCAATACAAATGGAATGATTAAGAAAAATTGTTTTCGAAAGAAGATGTACGTAAATTACGCGACTAAAAGCTATCAACAGCCATGAGCAACGGGAACAAAAACAGAGAAGAATATTGAGCGATGGAAAAGTACCACGCAAAATTATCGTGTACGATGCTTCAAGATCTCGCGAACACTGGACAATTAAATCGAGCTTTTTTCTTTCGAAAATTAGTATCCACAAAAATTATTATTATTTCCATAATTATTGTGTGGGAAGATCGTATGACTACGCGTTGCATTTTCTACGCGTTAGATACGTAGTGTATTTGATACGTATTGCCTTTATTTTAAGTTGTATGAGTTGTATTTACTTTAGTCCCATGTTGTATTTACGAGTTGTACTTGTCATAGATTACATCACATTTTACTATTCTACTTATAATTATGACATCAATTTTTGAAAAATAATGATATAGGATCCCTAAAGGTAGATACTTCAAAAATATAAAAAATTAAATATTTATACTGTACACGAAATATAATTTGTCGAATAGGTTCGAAGGACAAAAAGGACAACCGAGTTTATTACGAAGAGGATCTGAAAAGGAGAATTAACGAGTATTCGTTGAAAAATGTCCGAAGATCCAGGTCACTAGATAACTAATGGTGACGCGTTGAAGGATTCTCCAATTTGTCGTCCAATTCAATTTTCCGGGGGGTGGTTGTGTATATTCACCCTCATGTAGACATATTGATAGACACATAGCCGCAATTGCGACATATTTCGATGTCGTATATCGATTGCGGGACCTTGCTTGCTTGTGTATTTCTGTCGGTCAATATCGCGACGATCGGCAAAACGTGTCTATGTAAAGAGATCTCAACCCTCGGACACGTGAAATACATATTTTTCTCTTGCGTTGAACGCGTTGGATATCTTTATGGTTGGAAATGAAAAATGGAGGAAAACCTTCTCTATTTTTACTTCTATGATTTATGAATTTGAACTTATGTTCTCGCAATAGTCAGTTGTCGTATTTATAAAACACTCAAATTTTCATTTATGTTAGAAAATCGAAGTTAAAAATTGTCGAAAGCGTCAGAATGTAATACAGAATATTTATAACAAATTTTCTTATTGTAAACCTTAAGGTTCTTTCGCGTACAATTGCAATTTTTAAAAGCTTATCAAGAACCCGATAGTTCACATGCGCTCTTTATCATGCTTTTAACATAATTATAATTTCCGTTCGCGAACACGTTATAAGTTCGCGATATTGGATAACGTGGTCGAAACAACTCTCACCCATTTTCGCTTCAAATTATCTTAGTAGGTAGTTTAGAAATGATGTACTTCTTACTCTACTTTATACTATACTTTTATAAGTACCTATGTACTTATATCAAGACTAGTTTCACACTTTCGATTAATCATTATCATATTGAATATCTATCTCTTGCACTGAATATTCAGTCGAAAACAATAGGGTAATAATTAGAACGAACTTAATTAGTGGAGTATAACGATTTAATGAGGCACAATGTGTTTTATGCATAAGAAACGAGCAACAGTCGAAAAGTATCGTTCCTTTGAGAACTAACGATCCAGCAATCAAAGTCTGCTGAATAATTGACAGAGGTCGCAACGATTTTTCAGTTGCACGATAAGGCCCGGTTAGAGCGAAAAACGAAATCATAAACGAGGTTGGTTGGTCAATCACGCGATTTTTCTTCGATGTTTGGCCCGATTGATTGAACCTTCTTAATTATTTAGACGCCATGATAGCGGGATAGTCGTGTAGCTTGGCTCGCTATTATTCCTGTTGAAACATTCGATCATGACAGTAGACGATGCTGCATTTGTACAAAAAACTGTTAGTCTTCTTTCGATCTTTCTTAACACCTCGACAAAAATCTTTGGCAATCACATTTAAGATAGAATAGGACTAGTGATGGATTAATTATCAGTACACCTAATATGTACAAAAATGTAAAAGTAATCGTATTTCAGAAAGTTACAGGAGATTTTTCGTGAAATATAGAATTGTTACAGTGTTTGAAACATCATAATTTGTTTCTGTATTGTCCTTTCAGAACTGGTAGCATCGAAAGGTTGGTGGACGGTGACAAAAGGGTAATCGCTACGAAACATTTACTTCCAGAAAACAACATCAATGTGGTGGTCAGGTAACGTACATCATTTTGATACATTTATAATAATTAGTCTCAAACTTTGCCTTTTGTGAGACCTAAACAAAAAATATAGTCTCGAAATACAAAAGAAAATAGTTTCCGTGAAGTTTCGGTAAAACGTAATCACTGAAATTGTGGTTGAACGATCGATTAAGAGTAATTCGTCGGTTCCAGGGTTCGTCCGCTTAGCAACAAAGAAATTAAAGTCGGCGAAGATATGGCGGTGCAATTTCCTGGAGATGGACAGATATACGTAAGCCAATTGCGATAATTCCAAACTTCTGCACTGTTCGTCTTTTTATTTGATTAAATATTTGTGAATTATTTCGTACAGTGCGAAGGATCACCGAACAGTGGGGACAAGAAGGGCAAATTATTTTCGTACAACGTGGTGTTCGAGCCCACGGCCACTCAGGAAGATATATTGCAGTTTTCTGGTGTGAAGAAGTTGATTGAAATGGCGGTGGAGGGATTCAATTGCACTGCATTCTGTTACGGACAAACAGGAAGCGGGAAAACTCACACTCTCACAGGACCTCCGGAAATGGTGAGCGAACAAAAGGAAATTCTCTTAGGGAGCCCATCATGAAATTTCTCGATACTTCTGAATGCACATTCGTTGTCAGAAAAGTTCAACCAGGAAGTCTTTCAACTGTCAGGAATAATGTATTAATCAAGTTGAAGGTCGATTAAACCTAATCGAAAGGTTAATACTAATGCGTTGATAAGATAATGACCGAGTAGATGATGCTTGTTTTGTACGTTTAGTATTGACATAACGTTCCTTACCATTAAGATTTTTGGAATTAAATTGTATTGACCAATTTTTTAGAATACCTAATTTAATTGAATTGCGATAGACTTGCAATTTATCTTACCCATCACTACTTGTAATGTACTTCTCGTAAAAATTCGATTACTAGTACAATAATCATAGTCCTTGATACTTCCATCAGTCTTATATAATATGTATTATGTATTATTAAATTATAATGAGGAACGGATATCTTGGAACCTATTGATTCTAACTTATACAAATATGCATAAGCTTTGATCTATTAATACTACAATGCCAATTATACGAATAATCGATGTAAATGCTAATAAAATATAGACAACTGATCGATGTTCCTTTGTAATAGTTCGAAAAGATGAATCCTTATTCAGAGGATCACGGTCTGGTCTTCCGGTCTTTCGTCTACCTGTTCAAACTACTACACGAGCGTCACGGCTGTAACTTTGTACTGAAAGCCTCTTTTCTAGAAATCTATAACGAAAAGGTCAGTTTTTTAACGGTCTACTGGAAATGGTTCCGGGTTATCAATTTTCAATTTTAACCGCAGGTAATAGATTTATTAAACCCGGGAACGTCGAGGAAACCTCTGATGGTCCGTTGGAGCAAAAAAACGCGAGGGTTCTTCGTCGAGAATCTCTTCACCGTCGAATGTGAAGAACTTGATGACCTTTTGGCGGTCCTCGAAGAAGGCATTTATTATCTTGTAATTAACTTATTCTATTATGTTCTATAATAACACTGTTCAATTATGCAGGGATGAGAAACAGATCTGTCGGTGCGCACAACATGAACGATCATTCCAGCAGAAGTCACAGCATCCTCACTGTGACTATCACTTCCGAGCAACAAGTGAGTGTTTTGATCAACCATACCGTTTAGATCAAAAGGAAAAACGATGTAAGACATTAACATTTATAGATGGATAACAGCGTATTCATTTCGAGACAAGGGAAGATCAATTTCGTCGACCTGGCGGGTAGTGAAATGACAAAGAAGACCCAAAGTGAAGGGAAAACTTTGGAGGAAGCGAATAACATTAACAAGAGCCTCATGGTTCTAGGTGAGAATAATTAAACGCAGCAAGCGAGATGTATTATTTAATTTCTTTCCCCCATAAAACAAATGTAAGAATATTTCCTCTGATCGTGCTATAAAAACACGATACTAAAGCACGCGTGATGTCATGACTCGGAACTTTGTGGTGTCAATTATGCAGAAGTATCATCGCAAGAATCGATCGCTGAAACGGAGGGCACAAGCTTTACCTGAAACATCAACTCTGTTCATGGAATAATCAATAAGCGCACGTGTGGCGCGAATTACATAAAAGCTGGTCCTTTTGAAACATGTTATGTCAGGAGTCATACTTTGTAGCAAACTATTTTTCTTTTTCTCTTGAAGGTTACTGTATATCTTCGTTGAGCGATGGAAAACGCAAGTACGGCCACATTCCATATCGGGACAGCAAGCTGACCAAACTTCTAGCCGATAGTTTAGCAGGAAACGGAGTTACGTTAATGGTAAATCCAGTTACCACGATTGCGGTGATCGAATTTGTTGAACACGGTTACGTTTAATTGGATCATTTTCAAATTTTTTAGATTGCTTGCGTGTCACCGGCACGATCAAACGCTAGCGAGACTTTGAACACTTTGAGATATGCGGCAAGAGTGAAGAAAATTCGCACGAAACCTATCGTAGTTATGGTGAGTGAAAAGCTGTTATTAAATTTCGTATTACTCAAAATTTCTCGGATATAATAATACACAGCATCGAGATGGGTAAGAATGATAAAGAGTTTATTACACTAAATTAGGGGTTCATAAAGATATAATTTCAAAACTCGATGTAGCAGAACAAACTATGTTGTAATTGTAAGTGAAATTTAATTTTTACAGGATCCACGCGAGGCACTGATTCTTAGTTTGAAGAGAGAGGTAGGTGCACTGCAGACTGAGAACGAACACCTGAGAGCTGCTCTTCATCTGAATGGAGACCCTTCAAATATAATTCGTAGCGAGTCCAAGAGTAAGTCATATTATTACTGTAAATAGAATTCCAACATTCAGAATTTACTAATTAGGCTGGCAAACGAATGCCAACCATCTTTTCACAGCTGAAAGAAAAGTGCCATTAACACCACCAGTCGTGGACCTAGACAAGTTGTCTGAAATGGAGCGACCAGAATTGAGTCAGCTAATTCACGCGTACATCACCGAGAACGAGGCACTTAGACGAGAGAACGCGGAACTGTATGCCACCAGGGAGCAAGTAATAAGGGACCAGGAACTCGTTTGCAAAGAGAACGAGAGATTGTTGAAGAAACTCGAGGATGTTAACTCGTAAGTACAATACAGCTTGAAATGATCAACGGCTAAGGAAATTCAACTAATTCTCTAGGTTTTATTACTGCAGAGTATGCTGTCGGTCGCCAATCATACCTGCCAGACCCACATACTCGGCGGAAGTGCTGAATGACAGCAATGAAGATGCACCTGGCGCGACAAACGTTTGGACCAATCCTAATGCGGAATCTGTACCTTCTTCGAGCGTAAGTTACTACTCAACAGTTGCAAATTTTATTTCTGTAATTTGTTGAATGCTTATTGAATTTTAAATGTTAACGTGTCTAGAGTATGATCAGAAGAGAACTTTATAAATCGGCCAGCAACATGCCTGAGAAGATACAAAAAGAACTGGACAAACGCAGAATTGTGGGGAGTTATAATAACATAGCAGAAGCATACAAAGATAAGAGTCAACATCGTCGACACAATTCATGGGACAATGGAAATGGAACGACGAGGATAAGCCCTGATCAAACTATGTCACCGATACACGTCAATCAGTAAGCAGTATACGATAACATCCAACTCGTTAAACTTGAATTGCAGTATTCCATGTGACATTATAATTTCGTATCTGAAACTTTCATGTTTCAAACTTTTGTACCTAAATACGGGTTGTATCTAAAAACGAAACCTGTAATATTGAACAAGTTGATATTTATGGTACCCTCAAATTTCTAGAATGATTACTTTTTCTTTTAGTGATTAAACCAAATTGTCATTGACCACATTGTGGACTACAAGTTTTGCCGAATGTTAACATAATTCAAGATGTTCAGAGATTTGGTTCAATGTGTAACATATGACAATGTAACGTGTGGTTATATAATTCGTAACAAGATTGGTTACTATGTTAAATCAGCTATGTAAATTAGCTGACATTTGGCAAACTTTGGTCCGCAATGTTGTCCGGTATATTTAGTACGCAACGTGTTATTCTAATTATTAATTGGAGGAATGCCTGGTAACAGATACAAAAAGGCAAGCATGCGACGTACATCGACGGTCCCCGAGGAAAGGAGGCCCTCAGAAACTAACGATCTCCTGGGTGAACCTGTTCAGCCAACGGATCATTCCTACAACGGATCGCCAGACTCGATTCCCAGCAGTGGTGGACTGGACATGACGACTTCTGCACCGGATACGATGGAGTCCGAGACCAGCACCGCACCATTTCCGGCAGTTTCGTCGCCGTTTGGCACCCCGGAACTCAATGACGTAGTTCATTCGTTAGATTCACCGAGAAAGTCGAAGGAGAAGGAAGATGAAACCACGCAACGAGCATTTGGGAGTCCGGTTCCCATTGATGAAGACAAACCACTTTGAAAGTAGTCAATAATGTATTTTTAATGAGCCAACGTGGACCAAAACGATGGATACTGGATCGTTCGCACGATCAATCGAGTTGGAATGGAGTATAGTTTGGATGATAAGAAAGAAATTATTTTGATGTTATGTACGAGAGTAGCGTTGATCGATGTTGGAGTGTGTACTCGTGGTTTGAAGTAACGAAACAGTAATATCGTGTTTTCAGAATGACAAAAATGCGTAGTACTATGTAGAGAAATTATTTTCATGTAGAGTATGCTAATTAGGAGATTTAGACGTGGTAACCGAAAATTATATTTAAACATAACTATATCACTAAATTGCTCAGGTTATCATTGAATTCTACCTCTGAATTGTGTAAAACAGAATGTTCTACAAATGGAAGTGTGGACCAAATTATGTGCAATAAAGTATTGGATTATTTTATGATATGCGGTTTTTGTACATTTTCTAATTTATGGGTAAACAAGCAGAGCCTTATTTTTCTACATTCAGACACCAAAATTAATCTACTTGTTCAATTTATATAATAATTAAAACAGACTTATTTTTATTTTTACACAAAATATATGTATTCTTTGTTTAAGCACATTGTTTTCGTTAACTACATAACCTCCAAAATGTAGCTTATAAATTTTTAGTTTGAGTGGCTCAAATGAAATGTAATGACACTTTTTAGTTGTTTTATATTCATAGAACTCTGTATAAATGTTATTCAAGTTCAAAAATCATAAATTTTGTAAAGAAATTGTCTGCACCGTTAGTTTCTCTATCCACCACCAGATAACGCCACTATTAACTTTTTAAAGCACGCATGGTTACAGAATTAAAAACCGAATGACAATAAAAATTGCACAATATATGCAGGTTATTGCAATTGTACTGCTGCAATAAGTATTACTTCATTTTATTATAATTACTATTACTTATAAAAAGTTGAACAGACTAGAATATAATTGCAAAGTGATTAAAAGCAACTAACTGGATTATGGTGTTGGAAATAGACAATGCCATAAATGATCTATCGATTTCTACTCTGCTACTACATTATTTATTAAACATACCCTAATACATTAATCTCTTTGTCTCGTCTGATTACGATGTTTTAATACTGACAGTACTGTAGAGACAAAAAAGTACATGTAATATATTTATCAGGTTCGGAATGTTATCACACAGACAAAGACTGCCTCGGTATGGTTAGCCGTATCCACGGACATATATACACACGCATGTATAAACAACCTACAGAGAGCGTACGTGTGTCATTCCATGTTGGCATTTCTTTTGCAATTACAACGACCAATCGGTTCTAGTTGCTCATTAAATCGTTCGTTTTATTCGTTTGTTTCACAACCCAATCAACAGGCTGAGTTCAAATGCAAAATTCATGATGCAACGTTAGCTAACCGTTTTGCGACAGGAAAATAACGAACAAATATTCAGGAAAATTTCACCGTGGGAATAATTTATGGATGTAAGAATGATTATTTTGTGTATTGGCTTCGATACTAGATTATCTGCCGTTTCAAAAGTATCGAAAGGAGACATGCAGAAGCGAAAAAGAAAAGTCTTTGTTTCATGACGAATTTGTATCGCTGTTTTATCGACTGCGCAGTTCTCCATACCTATTTTATCTATACTCCATTTTATATGAGATCATACCTAATTTGCGCAGCGCGGCTAACTTCAATAGACTCCCCACCATAATAACGTTATCCCACCACCTTTCGTTCTCCACTATTTTAGTTATATACACAGTAGGCAAAAATAGCTAAATAGGAAACGCTCCTTTCGATTAACCATATTTAATTATTTATAATGCGGTGAATTATAGCCTAAACCAGATTCAAGAACTTTTAGTTCCAAATTTCATAATTTTGTAAAAATATTAAGAGTTACGAGACACTTAGCAAATATCAATGTGCAAGAAACAAAAAATCACAGAGTATATGCATTTGGCGCGATGAAAACTGCAAGTGCACATGCGCGTTGTTACTGGTTACGAAAGATATTGTAAACCAATCAGAGGTAATATGCGCAGAAGGGACGAAAACTCGTCGCACAATGGATATGGTCTCTTGTTGAACGAAGTATGGGAAACTTCCACACCACGGTTGCTGGTGGTGCGACTGCGAGGGAGTAGCAACAGAGCGGATGAAAGAACGACAATCATTCTTGGATGGACGGTGGTATCGTTGTAAAGTGCGGAGACAGTTTAGAACGGGTAAGCTGGAAGCGACGAGGAACGGTGAACGGGAGAGAGGTGCGGCGAGAGAGAGCGGGCGCGTGTGGCAAGGTCGGTGCGTGCGGTGAAATTGCGAGCTTTATTAAAGTGCAGTCGGCCGGGTTGAAAAACAATCGACGGACATAATACGGCGCTCCGTGAAGTCCGATGTCTAGTGCTGAGGTGGTGGAGAGCTCCGTTGACCCCCCAGCCAAGAAGCGACGCGTTGCTGCCACCACGGGAGGAGCCGACGACTCGACGACGATCGCAGACATGGCGAAAAATGGTTCGACGTCCCGGGCTTCTGCCGAAATCGACGAGGGTCTCTACTCAAGGCAGCTCTATGTTCTCGGCCATGACGCCATGCGTCGCATGGCATCCTCCGATGTCCTGATATCCGGTCTTGGCGGTCTTGGTGTTGAAATTGCAAAGAACGTCATACTCGGTGGCGTCAAATCCGTTACATTGCACGATGACGCGTTGTGCCAGATCTCAGACCTCGGCTCGCAGTTCTATCTTACCGAGGCGGACATAGGTGAGCGCTTTGACCCGCGTGAATTGCTAAACACGTGAACACTTTTAATATGAACAGTTTTCGTTACGACTTAACATTAAGAAATTCTACAGGGTGATCCACAATAACTGACAATAATTTCATAATTTCTAACTTAATGAATTACTAACGAATTTCAGCTTATTTTCTTTTCTTAATTAATAATACAATGTGATTGATAAGGCATAGTACCTTAAAGGACTTGCCCTCTCATCCAATTATCTATGTATAAGTGCCATTGCTATAATTAAAAAAATATAATTTTTTAAGTGCAACAAATGATATGCAAGATGTTCTTGTCACGGAAAGCTAATTACAAAGAACATATTTGTGTGGTCTTAGTCTTTATTTTATTACAAATATATGTAAAAAATTAAGACTAAATTGTGTTTTGTTTCACTTGCAGGTAAAAATCGAGCTGTTGCCTGTTGCCAACGTTTATCAGAACTGAACAATTATGTTCCCACCCGTCACCACTCTGGACCCCTAACTGAATCTTATATCAAGAAGTTCAAAGTTGTGGTACTGACTGAAACTCCATTAAATGAACAATTACGTATTTCTGAAATTACTCATGCAAATGATATAGCACTTATTATAGCTGATACCAGAGGTCTATTTTCCCAAGTTTTTTGTGACTTTGGAAAAGCATTCACTGTAGTTGATACTAATGGTGAACCACCTGTCAGTGCAATGGTTGCTAGCGTCTCACAAGATGTCGAAGGTGTTGTCACATGTTTAGACGATACACGTCATGGTATGGAAGATGGTGACTATGTCACATTCTCTGAAGTGCAAGGCATGACAGAATTAAATGGTTGTGAACCAATAAAAATAAAAGTTCTTGGTCCGTATACTTTCAGCATTGGAGACACATCAAAATATTCTGAATACATAAGAGGTGGTATAGTAACACAAGTGAAAATGCCAAAGATTTTACGCTTTAATCCTCTGAAGGAAGCTCTGAAGAAACCAGAATTTCAGATTACTGATTTTGGTAAATTTGATTATCCAGAACAATTGCACTTGGCTTTTATGGTATTGCATCGTTACATAGAATCTAAAGAAAGATTGCCTAGACCCTGGAATCATGAAGATGCAGATGAATTTTTAGCTCTAGCTAAAACAGTGAAAGAAGAAATGGGCAGCGAAATTGAAATCAATGAAACTTTGTTTGAAATATTTGCAAAAGTATCATCAGGAAGTTTGAATCCAATGAATGCTACCATTGGAGGAATTGTAGCACAAGAAGTGATGAAAGCTTGTTCTGGAAAGTTCCATCCTATATATCAATGGTTGTACTTTGACGCTATCGAATGTTTACCGGCAGATCGTTCCGAACTTACAGAGGAAGATTGCTGTCCTATTGGATCACGTTACGATTCTCAAATAGCTGTTTTTGGTCGTAAATTCCAGTCAAAGATTGGGAGCCTGAAATATTTCGTAGTTGGAGCAGGAGCTATTGGTTGTGAATTGCTTAAAAACTTTGCAATGTTAGGAGTTGGTGCTGAGAGTGGTAGCGTGACAATCACTGACATGGATTTGATAGAGAAATCCAACTTAAACAGACAATTCCTATTTAGGCCATCCGATGTTCAGCAATCCAAATCATCAACAGCGGCTAGAGTCATAAAGAGTATGAATCCAGACATGAAAGTAATCGCTCATGAAAACAGAGTTTGTCCAGAAACAGAGAAAATATATAATGATGACTTCTTCGAGGTCCTAGATGGAGTAGCAAATGCATTAGATAACGTAAATGCTCGTATTTATATGGATCGTCGTTGTGTATATTACAGGAAACCTCTTCTAGAATCCGGTACTCTAGGTACAAAGGGTAACACCCAAGTTGTTGTTCCATTTTTAACTGAATCATACAGCTCGTCTCAGGATCCTCCAGAGAAGAGTATACCTATCTGCACGTTAAAGAATTTCCCCAACGCTATAGAACATACTTTACAATGGGCTAGAGATAATTTCGAAGGTTTATTCCGCCAGGCTGCGGAGAACGCTGCTCAATATATATCCGATCCACAGTTCGTGGAGAGAACGTTAAAACTGCCCGGAGTTCAGCCATTAGAAGTATTAGAATCAGTCAAAACTGCTTTGGTCGATGAACGACCAAAAACATTTGCAGACTGCGTCGCGTGGGCTCGTTGCCACTGGCAAGAGCAGTATAGCAACCAGATTAGACAACTCTTGTTCAACTTTCCTCCCGATCAAGTAACATCCAGTGGTCAACCATTCTGGTCTGGACCAAAGAGGTGCCCTGAACCGCTCAAGTTCAACGTAAACGATCCTCTGCATTTGGATTACATTGTAGCTGCTGCAAACTTAAAAGCAAAAGTTTATGGAATTCCCATCAACAGAAACAGGGAAGAAATTGCCAGGATTGTCAGTACCGTGAAAGTACCAGACTTCACGCCAAAGTCTGGAGTAAAAATTGCTGAGACGGATTCACAAGTGCAAGTATCCAATGGTAGCGGAAATATTGATCACGAAAGACTTAGTCAATTACAAGAAGAATTACCCAAGGTAGATGAGCTTAACGGTCTAGTAATTCATCCTCAAGAATTTGAGAAAGACGATGACTCCAATTTCCATATAGACTTCATCGTAGCAGCTTCAAATCTTCGCGCTGTTAACTACAAAATCCTTCCCGCCGATAGACACAAGAGTAAACTAATTGCTGGCAAAATAATACCAGCTATCGCCACTACCACTTCAGTCGTGGCTGGCCTTGTTTGTCTCGAATTGATCAAGTTAACTCGTGGCGTAAAAGATTTGTCCATTTTTAAGAATGGTTTCGTCAACCTGGCTCTGCCATTCTTTGGCTTCTCAGAGCCCATTGCTGCACCAAAATTGAAGTACTACGACACCGAGTGGACACTGTGGGACCGGTTCGAAGTCAAGGGAGAACTAACGCTCAAAGAATTCTTAGATTACTTCAAGGAGCATCATAATCTTGAAGTTACCATGTTATCTCAGGGTGTCTGCATGTTGTACTCATTCTTCATGGCAAAGCCTAAATGCCAAGAACGTATGGGCCTGCTAATGTCGGAAGTAGTGAAGAAAGTATCGAAGAAGAAGCTCGAGAGCCATGTCCGTGCACTGGTGTTCGAACTTTGCTGTAACGACACCGATGGCAACGACGTAGAAGTACCGTATGTTCGCTACACCTTGCCATGAAACGTCGCTCGAATCACCGATTAACAAGAGATGATGTCTACTTAACTGACTTAGCCGTAGTAATTTCTACAAATTTCTATTTTACAATACGATACAGGAAATCTATTAATCTTTGTCTACGTAAGCCTTTTGAAGTAAACTTTAATTTTTTTTATTGCCAATGCTTCGTAGCATTTATAATAGCAAGCAAGCAAGTGCGGGATCCACTGAGTTTAATCTTACTATGATCTCCCTTTTCGCTGAAAATCGATTCCAGGATTCGCAACCATTTTTATTTGTTTTATTCCTTCATATCGCCTCCTGCCGCTGTTAATCGAGTCTGTTTCTTTTGCTTTTCAAACAGAACTATTTTCTAGCAAAAACTAGCATTAAAATCATTTAAACTGTCGATAAAGAGATATGTAAGTGATCGAAAATTTGTACAAGAGAATTTGCATTATGATGTTTATAAAATGATGAGGAAGAAGAAAAGGAAAAGTATGAAAAAAATGTTGCAGAAGAATTTTGTCCATATTGGATCATAAAGGGAATTGTCATGGTAAGAATTGTCTTAGGACTCACTCGTCACGACTTTATGTATAGAATCGAATGTAAAAAAATTATTAAATGGTAACTCAATGATCCTTAGATAAATAACGCTAGCACATTTAATATAGGCCATAGATAAACGTGAAAATAAAAAAGCGAACACAATTGTATCTTGCCTTCACTGAATTACCTTTTTCTTTTTTTCTTCTTTTTCTGTTTAAGATTATTTTTATGGTCAAGGGCACGCATACGAAAACAAAATAAACCTGCAAACTCTTTTTTTCTCTATTTCTATCTAAGTACGCTCTTGCTATTGAACTCGATATATTAAGACTTTATGTAATCAATATGTTATCGACAATTTTGATTTGTCCGTTTTATTTTTGAGTAACGAATATACTATTGGCTAAGGCTGTTTGTTGTTATAATAAGGGATACTGCATTTAAATTTGTAAGAACACGTTTTGGAAAAAAGCTTCGAAAAGAATTTCACACTTTAGACCAAGGAATACAAGAAAGAAAAAAATAAGGAAGATATTTTGTTAATTTTAGGATAATACGGATATTTATTGTATTATTTTATCAATAGATAATAAATAGATGTGTTTGGATTTTAAGAGACATGAAAAATATAGTAATGAAAATAAAATTTCTAAGTTGTCTTTCTTTATCTACCCTCTTTTCAAGTTTAAGTATTAGAACTTCCTGAGGAAAATTCCAAATTACGATATCACAAATTTACATATGTTTACAAAATTTGCGAATTTCAAAATTTCGTAGTATAATGATATAAAATAAAATCGAACTAAAAAAGTTCTTAATAAATACTTTTTAATTTGTAATACTAGTGGAACGTTGTATACGTTATGGTTTAAAATTTGAATTCGACGTCCGTTATATCAACGAAGTTTCCCTCGCATAACGATATAGAGGTTAGAAGTCAAAATGACACAGCGCAGTATATCGTAAGTTTCTGAAAGTAAAAATTCATCGTATCATTCATTATTTCATTACATCATTCTTACAGATCGTTTTTTATAAAAACCACATCGAAAAGTGATAACGCTATTGCGGACAATACAAGGTGAGTTGTGATATCAGATAATGTTAATGTTCAGATTCACACGCATTGTGAGTTGTTGCGCAAGCTTGTGTCTTCGTAGAAATTATTCTCAGCATTTAATATTTGTGAATAAAGTATATGAATCATATAATATTTTGTTACCATGTATAAATAATTCTGTACATTGGATACATGTTGATAGCACGCTTAATAATGAGGATAAAAATGGTAGAAACAATGCTAATCGAAAGCGAGACGATAGCAGCGAGAGTAAAAGTACGTCAAAGTATGTAAACCAATAATTATTTAATTTTTAAAGGTGTTAAATATGTTTCTGTCTTTATATGTGAATATCATTAAATCAATGTATCTCGTTAAGTTTCAGAAAAATTCCACAATATTTATCATAAATAATCATTTATTTTTAGTCATCCATTCACAGAGAAAACAGAAAGTAATATCACAAAAAAGTCATCTCCATCATCAGAAAAAGTATCTCTTAAAACAGGTGAATGATTAGATATCATAGATAACACTTGATTTATATTATTTTTATCATTTGTATAAAAATAAGATACTTGTAGTGGTGTGAATGTGAGACCAAGTAAGAGAGAAGGTAAAGAAATCTGGAAGGAAAGGAATATGAGAGAGAGAAAATCATAAAGCGTTGTATGAATTAGTGTGCTTTATGTAGTAATATAGTTAAATAAATGTTATAGCATGTATTTATTTAACTCATTTGCAAAGATACCAGTGTCTTAATCTTAAATTTGGGACACTGAAAGGAAGTAGTAATCATGTTCCTTGACATTTTAGTATGTTAACCATTGTGAATGGGTTAAATAAGAAATGTAGAAGTAGATAGATAAATGGAAGAGTAAGGTACCTGTAATTTTAAAGAAGACATTATCCTATAATATTTAAGGATCAACACCAAAGATAAAATTGTCTGGAGGGTTCAAGTTTGATGGTAGTAATACCTCTAAAAGGAAGAGAAGTACTGATAATGCAAAAGAGAATGTTACGAAAAAACCTGCAAAGAGAAAGTCAAAAGATAAGTCAGTGGAAAATAAAAAAGAAAATGCGAAGAGTTTAAAAAGAAAGAGTGATTCAATTTCTTCTAAATCAGAATCATCAAAATCTTCATCTGATGAAGCAGATGAATCAAAGGAAATACGTATAAAAACCAGTTCCAATAAAACTAAAAAGAGATTACGGATAATAGCACCTGTTGATTCCAGTGATGAAGAAGAGAAACTGACAGTATGTGTTTTACATGCATAGTAAACTTTGATCAATTGCACTATAATAATTGTAATCTCATATTTATTTATATTAATTGTTAGTTGCCAGAAAGTCCACAAAAACCAGATAGTAACAAAGAAGAAAAATCGTCAGATAATGAAAAACGAAAATCATCAGATAATGAAAAACAAAAATCGTCAGATACCGAAAAAGAAAAGTCTGATGAGGAAACTGAGGTTAATGAACAAAGTACTGAAGAAAAGAAAAATGGTGAAGAAGAAAATGATACAAAAGCACCTGCAAAGAAGATACATAGCTTTTTCAGTAGGTATTGTTATATTCATAAATAGTTCATAAATTATCTATGTATTTCTTTGTAGCTGTAAAACAAAAAGAAAGTACAAAGAACAATGTTGGAGATAAGGCAAAATCTGCTAATCAATCTTATAATCCTAGTATCTCGAATTATCACCCAATTAATGATGCATGCTGGAAGAAAGATGAGAAGTATGTTCTAAATTATTTTATCGCATTAATTATCTACAACAGTACATATTATGAAAGTAGAGATACAAAGATGAATACATATTTACAAATCATTTATAGAGTACCATATATCGCATTAACGCGCACATTGGAATTAATCGAGGAAACAAGTGCACGTTTGAAGATAATCGAAATTTTATCCAACTATTTCCGTTCTGTCATAGTTTTAAGGCCAGATGATTTACTTCCAAGCGTATACTTATGTCTCAATCAGTTAGGCCCCGCATATGAAGGTGAGTAATATGTAATAATGTATTTTTAAAAATTCTTATACAATAAATATTGTTATTGTTTTAGGAATTGAGTTGGGAGTGGCAGATACAACACTTATGAAAGCTATAGCACAATGTACAGGTAGAACTTTAGCTCAAATAAAAGCAGACGTTCAAGAAGTTGGGGATTTGGGTATTGTTGCGGAAGGAAGTCGTTCCAATCAGAGAACAATGTTTCAACCCGCTCCATTAACAGTACCTAATGTGTACTCCAGACTGAGGGAGATAGCACAAATGACCGGTTCTGCAGTACGACATTTACTAATACAATCAAAGAATTCATAATTATATTAAAATATGTGAATATAATATGTTTGTTACAGTCCATGAGCAAGAAACTAGACAAAATTCAGGCACTCTTCGTTGCATGTCGCTTAACCGAAGCCAGATATCTTATTAGATCTTTGGCGGGTAAACTTCGGATTGGTTTAGCGGAACAATCTGTTTTACAGGTACGTTTATTTACGTCATGCTGCATTTAAGTTATATAATTTATAATCGATATTCATAGGCATTAGCGTTAGCGTGTGCAATGACTCCACCAGAGCAAGATCCACAAATTTTAGACGCAAGTAAAAAAATGTCAAGCGATTCCTTTAAACAGAAATATGAGAAAATTGCACTTATTCTCAAAACAACATATTGGTACATACATTTCCCTGTTTTTGTTGTTCGAACGTAGGGCTTGAAGCTGTCACTTGAATTATATAAAATATTCGTTTTCAGTGAATGTCCAAATTACGATAAGATAATTCCTGTTTTACTGAAAGAAGGGGTAGAAGCGTTACCGAGCAAATGTAAGATAACGCCTGGTATTCCTATGAAACCTATGTTGGCACATCCTACTAAAGGCGTACAGGAGGTACTAACACGGTTCGAAGGATTGAAATTCACTTGTGAATGGAAATATGATGGAGAAAGAGCCCAGATTCATTTTGCTGAAAATGGTGACATTAGCATCTATAGTAGAAATCAAGAAAATAATACCAGCAAATATCCCGACATTATAGGACGATTTAAAAATACGAAAGGAGAAAGTGTTAAAAGTTGTATTCTGGACTGCGAAGCGGTAGCGTGGGACAACGAGAACAAACACATTCTTCCATTCCAAGTACTTAGTACAAGAAAACGCAAGGTAATACAAACTTTAAGTAAATTCAATATAAATTTTCTGTACATGCAATTCCGTTACAGGATGCAAATGAAGCAGATATTAAAGTTCAAGTATGTGTGTTCATGTTCGATTTGCTATATTTAAATGGTGAACCATTAGTACAACAGCCTTTTGTAAAACGTCGAGAATTACTAAAAGAAAACTTCAAAGATGTAGAAGGTGAATGGAAATTTGCAAACAGTTTAGACACTTCAAGTATGGAGCAGGTGCAAGACTTTTTAGACGAATCGGTCAAAGGTTGTTATATTTGTTTTTTCTTGCGCGAATTCACAAAATAAATTACAGAAAGTATATAACAATATTTGACTAGGTAATTGCGAGGGTCTAATGGTGAAGACATTGGAACAAGATGCAACATACGAAATTGCGAAACGTTCTCGAAATTGGTTAAAACTGAAGAAAGATTATTTAGATGGTGTAGGTGATACATTGGATGTGGTCGTTATTGGTGGTTATATAGGAAAAGGTAAACGAACGGGAACGTACGGAGGATTCCTTTTGGCTTGTTATGATCAAGAGAATGAAGAATATCAAAGTATCTGTAAGGTGGGTATTGTCAATTCAAATGCTTGAATCAGGGCTTCTCAAATGTTTATTAAAAATTCCGAAGTAATATATTTGCTACAATTCATTTAGATTGGTACCGGTTTCACCGAAGAGGATCTTCAGAAACATTCAGAATTTCTTAAGGAACATATTATACCGACAAATAAGTCATACTACCGTTATGATTCATCTCTCCAACCTGATCATTGGTTTGAACCCGTCCAAGTATGGGAGATCAAATGTGCAGATCTGTCTCTGTCACCTGTTCATAAAGCTGCTGTCGGAATCGTTGATCCAGAAAAGGGCATATCCTTACGATTTCCACGATTTATTCGTATTCGCGACGATAAAAACAGCGAGGACGCCACTTCCGCTCAACAAGTTGCAACCATGTACAATAGTCAGGAACAGATAAAGAACCAAGTTACTTCATCGAAGTTAACAGAGGAAGATTTTTATTAGATTTACAATAAAGTACACAACTTAATACAGACTTATCTATACAGGAGAAGAGAATCTTTATTGGCTGCATTTATATTTGGCAATGTTACAGAAGTACTCAATAATTCTGTAGTAGTACTACTTTCGAGAATCTCTATAACTGACGAATAATTTGCAGCTAATTACATGACATCACAATACACTTATGATTTGACTATAGTTTTTTTTAATTCAAAACGCATCTATGTAATAACATGCTTAAATAGATAATTTTAATAAAGTTGTCATACTGAATAATTAAAAATTGTGTTTTCTTTGGATGAACCACTCAGTCATTTTATGGATCTCAAAATGCTTGGACATCTAGCGGTGGAAGGTAGGAATTAATGAAGGAGGTGTTGCCAACACGTGTAGTTCACCCTGTTCGCCGGAGAGATGGCGCTGGTTGCATAATTTTTAATTGAATTTAATTAATATTGCTTTTTAGAGCAATTTAAGCCATAATATTGATAATTAAGTAGTTAGAGAAGTTCTATTGAGAACATAGAATTCTTTACGCTACTTAGAAAGGCGTGAAAAGCATTAATTTTAAGAAAATATGCAATTTTTATTTGGACTGATATCGTCGGTTGCCGCTGCATGGCGGTAGCGGTACAAGTTTCGAATTAGCGCGGCTCCAGCAAATATAAACTAAAAAATGTAAATGAATGGAATACTCAAAATACTTGAAAAGTATTTTGGGAAAGATACTAGCTGTCATAAATGATGATTTCGACGATGTCTGCATTTTAGATCATGTAATAAAAACAACAATGTTCAAATATAAAAAATACTTTATTTGGTCCACAGTACAATATTGTTTGTATGCATAAGTTGTGTATATATTTGCACGAAACTACCATTATAATTTATTTGTAAATAAAACATTATACAATGTTACGTTAATAAAGTGTTCTACTTTCCTTTGACCGGTTTATACCTAACCTCTAATTTCTTTGATAAACACTACAAAGCTTTAACAAATGATGTCTAATACGATTAATCACAAGTTATTTTATAACACTGTTCTATCACAAACATTCTCTCCAGATGGAAATTATTTATTGGCAGGGAATATTTATGGGGATGTTTCTGTTTTTGAGTAAGTATTATTTACTTCATTGTGACAAAAATTAGGTTATGTTGACATTAATGAAATTGAAGAAACGAATATAAGAATTGTTGTATTATTACCATTTTACCAATGCTGGTTTTACATTATAAAATATTTTACATGTTTGTAGGGACTTGAACTTGGATTGTAACTTATATTTGTAAATGTGTTACTGTTTTTGTAGGTTATCTAAAGCTCTAGGTCCCAACAAAGTGGAAGAAAATGAATTACAAGGACCGAATTACCGCTTTGCTGCTCATCCTGATCAACAAGTAGAGAGTATGGTGTCAAACGATAATTTTTTAATAACAGGAACATCTGGAGAAGTATGTGGATGGGATTGGAAAATTATTACCTCGAGTAAAGCACCAAAAAGTAAAGTTTCATGGACTATACAGATACCAGTGAATAAGTAAGATTATTTATTTAAATATTTTTAACCCTAGAACTCATAATACTGCTTCTTATTTTGAATCCATTAGAAATGGAGTTCAGATAATGAATAGTACAAGTTCTGCGTCAACTATATAATTATTCAGTTTGGAATATTATGCATCGTGCTGTTGAGTTCCAGGGTTATATATATAAAAAATATTAAAGTACTGTATAGTTTTTTTGAATATTAATATTAGTTTGACCTCAGGGATAGCTATGAAAAGCCAGATGTAAATTATATGATATACTCCAAATCCAACCATCTCTTGTATGTTGGTTGTGGTGACAACAATATTTATGTAATTACTTTAGAAGATGGCCGGATTCTCAGAACTTTACAAGGACATACAGATTACATTCACTGTCTCTCCTTAATGTATGTATTTTTATGATAAATATTATATGACCTTCACATTTCATGCAATAAATTTTGCAACATGCTTCAGGGGTAATCAGCTAGCTTCATGTGGTGAAGATGGGACAGTAAGGTTGTGGGATCTAAGAAAAAAAGAAAATACCAACATATTAACGCCTCATCTGGTACAAAAGGTCGCTAGGCCACGGTTAGGCAAGTGGATAGGCGCGATAGACTTTACGGATGATTGGTTGGTGCGTATTTTAGGATTTTTTGTGTATTATTTATTATTGAAAATAGATAACTGTTATTTAATAAGTACACGTTTTAGTTATGCGGTGGTGGTCCTTCCTTATCTCTGTGGCATATACGAACGATGGAAGCAGCAACCGTATTCGATCTTCCGGATGAAGGCATTCACGTAGCAAAGATTTACGAAGAACGCGTGATAGCTGCAGGAGCAGCACCCCACGTCTATCATTTAACATATCAAGGAGAAACATTAGCGAAAGTGCCAACTTCCAGTAAAACGGTGTACAGTATTATTTACCAAGAAATGCCACAGAAAGTATTGAGTATAGCCGGCTCCTCCAACAATCTCGACGTTTGCACGAACTTTAATTACCGCGAACTGATGTTAAAGTTCGCGTAACAACAAAACTACGAACCAAATCAAAATACTTCCCATGTGATTCTCAGGAAAAGGAACAATCTCATGACGCATATATATTTTTAAATAAATATATTAATACAATGTGCATTTTATAAAATATAGTATAAAACTTTTTACAAATATACAAGTATCCGTTCGTTGATCATGATTCCTTGTAATGCGACTGTCTCTAACAGACACACCGAACAGTGCGGAATATAGTTAAAGAAAGCCGTGACCCGCGATCACTGCAGGTATAAAGCCCTCTCTGCCGTCCCGTGAACGAACCCAGAACCAGTCGCTGACGTGATCGCTAAGCAGAGCAACGACGTCACCTTTAGAAACGCTCAGAGCGTTTCCACCTTGACCTTCGTAGTCGCTGCGTATGACCAGTAAAGTGTGACGAGATCCTTTGGTTCTAGCGTTTGCCGCCGCTCGCAGATACAATCTGTCGACGCTGCGTTCTCCACAAGCGGACACGGCATCTCTGGAACTTCGTCTTACTCTTGGATTTCTGCCTCGAGCTCCGCACTCTGATCGTGTGTCCCTTAATTTTTCGGTGTCCGTCATGTTACCTAAAAGGGAAAGGACGAACTTTATCCTTGATACAATTTTTTATGGCACGGTAGAGTGTTATATTGTCATTGATAGGGGTCGTGTAGAAAGTCTATGTATGGTGAGCTCATGCGGGGAAATACGACACGTAGAAATACTCAGCCTATGTTCTATTGCTTGATGATTCTATGTGTGGATGTTATAATTTGTAGAGATATTAACGTGGAGGAATATCTCAAGAAATACTAACGTGTGGGGATTTCATGCATGATGCGGGAAGGTTCACACGTGACGATTTGTATGAAAGGATAATGCATGAGACACGACGCATTGTGATACTAACGAGTGGCAATTTTAGCGCATATGTAGACATATGATGTTGTAATACCAACGTGTAGTAATTCTACGCGTGACAATGATACGTGGAGGATCCACATGAGGCGTTATTGACGCACAAAGATTCTACACGTGATAATATAACTTGTTATGATACTAATACGTAACCACCCTGTGCACAGTAATATTCATTTGCGACAATCCTACGCATAACGATATTGACGCGTAACAATTTTATTCATGGTAATATCAACGTGTAGCAATACCACGCATGGCAAAGGATCAACTTTAAACATCACAATTCATAGAATCTATACCTTACAATGGCAAAGTATGACTACTACATTTGAAAGACCTCACAAAGGTGACAATATAATAAAAGTCCACAGCATTTAGGATTTCCTTGTTTCAGTATGCAATATAATCTTTGTCATCATCGAACTTATCAATCTACCTAGAGGACGAGGAAATACATCCGTAGAATCTTCCCAGCAAGGACCCCGCGTTGGTTGCGGCAATATCCCAAGTGGCAGACAAGCAGCATAACCGACGTATCCTTCTTGTCCGTGTGGCGTCTGAACGTACAACCAGGTTTGATTCTTGAAGACAGCATTGACGACCGTTCCAAGAGGGAGAGCCATCTCGTCTTGAGTACCTCCTTGCGTTTGGTAGAGAACTGACGGGAAGGACAGAACCACGGGAATGTTGGCGGGTTTCTCTATCGAGGCCTGAAAAGTATCCCTCGTGAACAATGTTCCTTAAGCTAGGCATTCTTTTAAGCAATTTAAAGGTACCTTCGTGAGAAACGCATCAAGGTCCGCAATTTCGTAACCGAATCTGCTGGGAGGTCTAGGTTTGTGAGAACGTTTGGTCCTTCGATGTCTGTGCTTCTCACGACCGCTCGGTGTGGACGTTGACTCGCGAGACACCAGGGACGGCTCAGACACTGCCCTCTTAACTTTCTCCTTTTCTTTCGTCTCTTTCAGACCGGAAAATTCCTTCTCGGATTGCTTGTCCAACGGGCTGTCCAGGGACCTCTCGAGCACCTCCTTGCCGATGGATTGCTGGAAGAAAAAGTTCATTGAAAACTTATTTTATTATTTAAGATTTATGGTTAGAGATCACGGTAGGATCAGATAGATCAGAATGTACTTCAAGGATTTATTTCTAATTAGAAGTTTGTTTTATAAGTTTGTAATAATCTAAAAGCTTTTGAACTTCAACCTTTTCTGTCCTCTCGATCTTCTCGATCCTGTGCAGAATCTTCTTCTCTTGCTTCTCGGTGTCCAGGTTCTCCTTGCCGGCGTCCTTCTCCTTCACGCTTTTCACGCTCCTCTTCGAGGACCTTTCTTTACCGTCTCGTGACAAGCTCTCCCGATCGCCGTTCCCACCTTCACAAAGGCAACATTGTTTCTCAAGCTTTCATAAAGTAGCGAAGAAATTATGGGTGATTTACCGCACTCGCTGCTTAAGGACTATCGCGGGTAACTTGTTCTTTCGCAAGCTTAAATTATCCTTTTACTTTAAAAATCGCTGTCTGACTTGGGTTTCTCACGATGGAATTACGGTGTTAATGGTTGTACCAGGATTATTACTTCGTGTATGTTAACTGTACTTTACATCGATTCTTTTATGAATGTTTGCTTTTTTAACTGCTCTCTAAATTACAGTTTAGTATTTCACCTCTTAGAGAGCACTGTAAGTCTTAGAGACTTTGAGATCTTAAGGTTATACGATTTCAGGAATTTATTGTAAGTGTGTTTAATCCAACTCCCAATTCCATATTCTCCAATTCCACATTTTCCAATTCCCATATTTCCCAATTTTTACATTCCCCAATTGAGGTATAAGTTAAGGTGTTATATAAGGTGTTACTCCACTATTCTAGTATTTTTGGTTTTTTCTAATTTTTCAGCTTTGGCGGACCTGCACTTCCATTGAGAGTCGTCTGATTATTGGACGCAGGTTGCTGTTGTCCACGAAGGACCCAGGTCAGAGAGATCTTGGGGCGCAAGAGGGTGCTTGGCCGTTGCCCCATGCTCCTCGGCGGCGCGAGGGGCGTCGAGGACGTCGCTGGCGTCGGCGATCTGGGTGGTGACGGCGACCTCGACGCCGGTGTCACCACCTGTAAAGGACAGTCCGCCACCAGGTCCACCGTCTGCACCGAACAGCCATGTTCCTGCAACAAAAACATAGAAATAATCTAACTACAGTCTACATATCCAGTTCAAACCATTATTGTTAACATTGTAGAATTATTTTATCATAAATTCTGTAACAAATGTCTTACATTACTAGACAGTTATTACCGACTACATATCATACATGTTTTCTACTTTATCTTATCACAATTTTTACACCGATTTTTACTTTACTTTATAAACTACCAGTTTGTATTTTATAAACTTCTACCAGTTTGTATTTTATAAACTTTTACCAGTTTGCATTTTATAAACTTCTTTATTATACGCACTTTTATCTTAACGAGTTATCAAGATGGTAATTGAAAATAATGTCAAGAGTTCATAATATCGAGCCCGCATCCACGAATTTATTAAACGGCAGTCTAGCGTTAATTAACGATTCGAAAATAAAATGGCGACGCGTCGGGAAACTTGTTGCCTGAATATATTGCGCTTCCGCGAGCCTTGGATCCCGGGGATGGTTGACTTGTGCGCGTGCTGCACCTTCCGCAAAGTGGATTATTAATTCGTCTCATAGGCGTTCAATTAGCCCGCGGGCCGAGTCGCGGAAATGAATTATTTGTCGGCGCACGCGTATCCCCGGTGTGCTTTACCGTGCCGCGGAAATTTACGACTGTCGTCTCGCATAAATAGCTGTTCTGGCCACTGTGAAATTTACGGACGACCATTCGTGAATGTCTCGTAAAATTTCTCCACCCCTTATGTTCTAACCCCAACTCATACCTCCAGTTTTATTTTTTTATATGAAACTGGGTGTTTCAATTTTTTTTTTAAGTAATAACATATGTATTAATAAAAATAATTACACAAATAATTAATAAAAATTAAATAACACTTTATGTATGAATAATACAGCGATTTTTTTTTAAGTTTGACGACTGAATACTTTTTAATAAAAAATTCACATAATTGCTACTTTGAACGATTTTTTTATCGAAAATTAGAATTTGACTGCTAATTGAAGCTCGATAAATTCGACATCAAAGGTTAATTTTAATGAAAGGTGTAATAAATAAATAGAAGTATAATTTTGATAAAAATTGAAGATAAATAAATTTAGGTAACTTGATGGAAAGTTTCGAAGGGGAGTAAGAAGTGAAATAAACTATGGCGGTGAAGAATCCTCTCACGTGGACCGATCTCCGAAGACATTCCGCGTGGTCCGGTCTGCGAACGCGTTCCTATGAATTATTGCACCATTAACGTGAGTAATCGCGCCGGCGGGAAAATTATATAGTAATTTGTTCGCAGCTGATCGAATACGTCGAGAATTTTATTCTTCTTTTGCCGGGGTAATGAAGCGGGCTAGCCCGGAAGGGAAAGAGAACAGAGAACTGCAACCCCATTCGGGCTCTCGTGGCCGTGAAAAATGAAGACGTTTCACCCGGCCGCTTTCGATTTTACGCGTTGAATGGCCAGCTAAGTAGCCATTCCGTACGGTGTTATAATTTATACGAAAGCCCTTTGTGCTTAACACAAGACGATTCCCTTTTGCGCCATAACTGACCGATGCGATTACCTCGAAAACCACTTTGGTTTTAACCCCTTTGACTTACGATTTACGATTTCTTTCGCATGCTCGGAGGCCACAGGTGTAATATAAAAACACCCTGAACAAGTCTTAGCTCTTTGACATACGATCGATTATTAGGTGAGAATGAAAAATGTTCTTCTAATTGTACAGAAGTATAGCAACTTCCAATTGCGAGGGTTTCATCCTCAGGCAGTGTCCATGCATGACAAAGAAGTGCTACTTTCAATATTAGACAAAGGACATCGTAAAGTTATTAATTTTTGCAGCTCCAAGCAGCGGCAATTTTATTTAAAGTTCTTCAATTCTATATTTTATTACAATTATTTAGCTCCTTATTTTATTAAAATTGTTCAGCTCCTTGTTTTATGAAAATTGTTGAGCTTCTTATTTTATAAAAATTGTTCATCTCCTTGTTTTATGAAAATTGTTCAGCTCCTTATTTTATAAAAATTGTTCAGCTCCTTGTTTTATTAAAATTCTTCAACTTCATATTTTATTAAAATTGTTCAGCTCCTTGCTTTATGAAAATTATTCAGCTCCTTATTTTATTAAAATTGTTCAACTTCTTGTTTTATGAAAATTGTTCAGCTCCTTAAATTTATAAAAATTCTTCAACTTCTTGTTTTATGAAAATTGTTCAGCTCCTTATTTTATAAAAATTCTTCAGCTCCTTGTTTTATGAAAATTGTTCAGCTCCTTAAATTTATAAAAATTCTTCAGCTTCTTGTTTTATGAAAATTGTTGAGGTTCTTATTTTATTAAAATTCTTCAGCTTCCTCTCAAGCAGACATGGACAGTTTTTCGTAGCCTAGTATTAACCTCGAGTACACAAAATAAAAGTCAGTCAACTGGTTTACAAATAAGTGATTTCTGCAACCTGAGAAGTTATTAATTTCAACTAGGAATGAAAATATGCTCGAACCGTCAGCACGCACTCGAGCCGAGTGAGTAGTTAGTCGAAAAAGAAAGGAACAAGTAGGAAAACGAAAAAGAGAGGAAGAAGTAGAGGTGGGTCCCGTTTAAGTGACAGAAAGGCTGGTCCACGGCGCGAAGGTAGACACGAGGTAGCCTCAGGTGACAAGTTAAAAAGGGAGAGAAGAGGTTGGCGGCGCGAGCCAACTCTCTCGAATCATGCTAATGAAATTCTCAAGATATCTATCTCGCGCGCCACTGTGCACCAGGCATTAGTTTAGCGTCTCGCTCGCGGCCAACCTCGGCCTTATCTGTCCGCCTTCGGACGTCCGGTATCAATTTCCCGGGAACGTGAAACGCGAGGTTAAACGGGGGTGTCGAGTTCGTCACCGAGTCGTGCTAACGATCTTGCTACCGATGATTATCCTTCTTTTCGCTTAATTTTTTATTGGGGGTGGTTCTAATTTCGCGTGCTTTACGTTTAGATGCGTGGAGGGTTACTGCGTTGATTTTGGAGCGCGTGGGATTCGGAATATTTCGAACTCGGAATGTACCATATTCGGATTGGGTTGAATTTGGAATATATTGAGTTTGGAACGCATCGTATGCGGGACGCGTGGAATTCGGGGCGCGTAGAATTCGTAACACATTTAATTCGGGACGCGTCGAATTCGGGGTGCCTAGAATTCGGGACGCATCAAATTCGGGGCGCGTGGAATTCCAGACGCATCGAATTCGGGGCGCGTGGAATTCGGAACACATCGAATTCGGGGTGCCTAGAATTCGGGACGCATCAAATTCGGGGCGCGTGGAATTCCAGACGCATCGAATTCGGGGCGCATGGAATTCGGAACATATCGAATTCGGGACGCATCAAATTTGGGACACGTCGAATTCAGGACGCATCAAATTCGGGGCGCGTGGAATTCCAGACGCATCGAATTCGGGGCGCATGGAATTCGGAACATATCGAATTCGGGACGCATCAAATTTGGGACACGTCGAATTCAGGACGCATCAAATTCGGGGCGCGTGGAATTCCAGACGCATCGAATTCGGGGCGCATGGAATTCGGAACATATCGAATTCGGGACGCATCAAATTTGGGACACGTCGAATTCAGGACGCATCAAATTCGGGGCGCGTGGAATTCCAGACGCATCGAATTCGGGGCGCATGGAATTCGGAACATATCGAATTCGGGACGCATCAAATTTGGGACACGTCGAATTCAGGACGCATCAAATTCGGGGCGCGTGGAATTCGGGACGCATCGAATTCGGGGTGCGTAGAATTCGGAACGTACTGAATTCGGTACGCGTCGAATTTCGAACGCACCGAATTCAGGACGCGTCGAATTTAGGGTGCGTGGAATTTGGAACGCGTCGAATTCGGGGCGCGTGGAATTCGGAACACATCGAATTCGGGGCGCGTGGAATTCGTGACACGTCGAATTCGGGGTGCGTGGAATTTGGAACGCGTAGAATTCGGGGCGCATAGAATTCGGTATGCTTCGAACTCGGAACGTCCCGAATTTCTAACGCGCCGAATTTGAAACCCTTCGAACTGGGACCATATATAATTCACAGTGAGCCAATATAAAAGTACGCAATATCAAACGTCCAAAGTTGAAAGCATGCAAAAGATGGCGTGCCGGGGTTGCATAAGTCTTCATGATCGGTTATCCCCGGAATTACAACGGATCGCGTGACAGGGTCTTAAATCAAAGAGAGCAAACTTGGACTTACGAGCGTTAATTGCTAGACTATTCGGCCCGTCCTCTAAAGGGACTTTATTGCACCGGAAAATCAAACGTTGTACCGTTACTTCGCATACGCGAAGGCCATCTGCGTGCGCGGCAAAGAGCATAAACGTGTAAATGGCTGATAATAATCCGGATGGAGGGGTCTGAAGGGTATAAGACGCGTTCCTTGCTGCAGGATAGTCACAAGAGCGCGTTTTACGAGCCCACGAAACGAGCTTTCCTCTTGACGCCTTTACTGTTAAAGTAAATAAAAGCGAGCCTCGATTTCTCTTTTATCAACCATTTTTTTATTTCTGAACCTTTGGAGAACTTTATTCTATATTTGGAGATTTTTCTGTTTAATTCGTTTCTTATCTTCTATTGACATTAAATATTAAATTTAATTTTTTGTTCGACCAAAATTCATTTTAGAAACTTTCTTTCAGAGAATTAGTCGGTTAAGAGATACATATTAATTTTCGGGTAATAAATGTTCCAGTTAGTCGTAAATAGACGGATGTTCATACAGTTATATCTGTTACGAGATCTGTAAAGTATACGTAACTCATGTCATTTATAGACTGCGGATCTTGTAGATAATATGATTTGTGGGCGGTTAACAGACCTAGGTTTATTATAAATTCATAAAAATTCTACTCGTAAATGTTTGGGTCGTAAATTTATTGGTTCACGATTAAGGTTAATGTACTCCATTAGCGAGCTAGTTCCCATTACTCCACTATTCATTTCATTTTATTGAAATGTCACAAACAAGGTTGTGTTGATCAAAATCTTTAAGTTCAATTTATTTTATTTACTAATTTAAATATTCTTTACGATTATTCTTTATAATTTATTCTTATTCTCACTGTTCTTGCAAAATAATCTTTTCTTGTTCTCAACTAATATGATCAGATTACGTTAGGTTAAGAAGACACACCTTTCCCATCAAATATCAAGAATCTCAAAACTGAAGCACAAGACACAATTGTCACATCAAAACCAAAGATCGTATTACAAGGATATTACGTAGCAGGGGGTTAACTGTCCCCGTTTTATCCTCAAGGTAGTCAAACGCGATCGCAAATTGTTAGCTCTTAAAGCAGCAGGAAGAAATATCGTGTCTCGAAGCGGTGGATCCAAGAACTTCAGCGATGTATTTACAAGAGATGCATTGTCTTTGAAAGCACGTTGGCCAACAACTCCGTGATTTCTGCAGTTGCAGTTGTCGTTAAAGCACCGACGGTCAGGTTTTACGGTGTACGTTGTCTGGCCGCAGTAGTAAAAGGAAATGCACCGTTGCACACCGGCCGTTACGCATGGACCGTCTTGTGCAATGATTCGCTCGTACATATAAAGTGTAATTTTGGTTAAACGCCCTGTACTGCCTTCGTGCACCCTTCGTTCCCATCATTTCCATGGGAAAGACGCTTCCAAGATACAAACCGCTTTTTGCTACACTAACCCTCATTTTTCTCCTCCCTTTATGCCTGCCTTTCGTACTCTTTTGTAACGACACCTAAAATAGTGACTGTTTTATGTATTTTCGTTTTGCGACTGCGTTAATGCGGCTCATTTTGAGACTCTTTTAATGCAGTTCATTTTGAGACTCTTTTAATGCAGCTCATTTTGAGACTCTTTCAATGCAGTTCATTTTGAGACTCTTTTAATGTACGCCATTTTGAGACTCTTTTAATGCAGTTCATTTTGAGACTCTTTCAATGCAGTTCATTTTGAGACTCTTTTAATGCAGTTCATTTTGAGACTTTTTTAATGCAGTTCATTTTGAGACTCTTTTAATGCAGTTCATTTTGAGACTGTTTTAATGTATGCTATTTTGAGACTCTTTTAATGTACTCCATTTTGAGACTCTTTTAATGCAGTTCATTTTGTGACTGCTCTATGTATTATCATTTTGTGACTGTTTTAATGAAGTTCATTGTGTGACTGTTCTATGTATTGTCATTTTGTGATTTTTTTAATGTAATTCATTTTATGACTGTTTTAATGAAGTTCATTGTGTGACTGTTTTAATGTAGTTCATTGTGTGACTGTTCTATGTATTATCATTTTGTGACTGTTTTAATGAAGTTCATTTTGTGACTGTTTTAATGAAGTTCATTTTGTGACTGTTTTAATGAAGTTCATATTGTGACTGTTTTAATGTAGTTCATTGTGTGACTGTTTTAATGCAGTTGAAAGATGTATCGCTCTTAAAAAACCGCAACAAAGGGTGACTACAAAAGAAACCACCCTTCCTAACCACATCCTGTCTGCTCCACAAAACCGACCGTGAAGAAGATGGACGATCGTTCCAACTGTTTCTTCCGCTCAGTCGCGTGGAACATCCGTTCCGTTGTTGCTAAAAAACTGCAAGCTGCGATGGAATTCTCTGTCGGGTAAAAAGAAGCCACCCCTAAAAATTCCTCGCCAAATAAAGACGACGTAGCGCGTTGGTTTTTTGCGTCCTTGGACAGGATCCTTTACAAGGTGGTTCCATTGGAAAGCTTCTGGCGAATTATCCGGAATATGGGCCTCGGGACCAACGGACCCTAGGGAAGAGGAACGACCGACATAAACGGCGTTCTCGCTCGTTACACGCGAGTGGCGCTAAAAATATCGGTATCCTGATTTTCTTCAGCTGGCTCTAAGTAGCGCTTTCTGGGAATAGCCAAGAATTTCTAGAGTCTAGTCGGCGAAATACGAGCAAACCGTCCGAGAGTTTATGTAGATGCTTTGTCGGTAGGTGCCGGTTTCTCGGAACCGCTCGAACGCGCTCACCTGTGGGAGGATTGATCAGCGATTGACCGATCGATCGCTTCGCGGTTGCGGTTTTAAGGCTCTTTTTTCTCTTCGTGACAGGAAGTCGTATATCGCTTCTTGCCGCTTAGACTCGTGCTTACGCGGCTTTTCGCAATTTTACTTCGTAGCTTCTATATTTGTCGCGGAAGATTTGCTGACGCGGAGAACGGTTAACCGGCTCTTAATGGAGACTTGTTTATTCCCCTGCAGTCGCATCGAACTCGCATTAATAACTATAGTAAGCTTGAGACGATGTTACCGTAACCGATCCGAACTTTGTTGCAGTTTATGGCCCTAATGAGATCGGAGATAATTAAATAGCTTGTAACTACATGACTGACTGAAGTTGCAGAAGTTTTAGATCAACATAGAATTTAATGACCCATGAATGGAATTTGCACGCAATACAAAAAACGGTATTCTACAATCTGGCACAGATTGATCAGAATGGAACGTAAATAGCTAGTAATGAGTCCATTAAAGGTTCGTAGAAATCAATTAAAAATATCGTATGGAAATCTCGGTCAAATTACGGGGTTTTTATATTTTATCCCATCATTCGGTTACTCGTTTAATTTATTAGCCGATGCACGGGTATCGGTTACGCAAGTATTCAGCGAGGCGTACAATAATTAAATCCGGCTCTCGAAAGATCGCTAATTCGATCCACGTTTCGATCCATATAAATGCTAATTACCAGCGTTCCCGTTTCAATCCACTGATCCCCCGAAGAGCTTTACGGGAGGTTAACTCCATTTGAAGCAAGAACACGCTTCGAGCCACTTAATTACTCCCTCGAACAGGACTGAACAGTCGTGATTTCGTGAAACAAAGGATACATTGTTTTTGATCTCGCGTGGAATTAAGGCGTTCGGTTGCACGTGTTTCGCTCATGATTTTCAGAACTGGTACTGAAAGTGCAACTACCTTGTACGAGGTTCTGTCTTCCTCTTCAGAAGATGGGGCAGCGGGATCTTCTTCCGGGGTCGCTACACCTTCCGTTTCCGCTGGATGGTAGTCGACCTCGCTGCTCCAAGAGTGTCGCCTCTTCAGGTCTCCTGAAATTATAACAAATTTATTTTTTTTTTTGCTTTTCAGAGCATACAGTGGTCAGCAACTATGTGACCAACATTTTAGAAGATTCACTTTTGGATGAGTATTGCGGAAGGAAACTGAGTGACAGTGATGTTGACCTTCATATATATTGTCAAGGTCATTGGGTAGAAGAATTTGCAAAATATTTTGGAAGTATAAAATCTTATTCAAAATTCATGGAGTAAGAGTTTTTAAATTTTAAACAAGTAGAATTTCAGGATTAGTCAAATAATAATTTGTATCAAACTTGTAATTGATCAATCAGCCATTTTATATTATGACTACTGAAGAACTGTTTACATAGTCATTTTCTTCCATCTTCAAACTTTAAATCGACATATCGTAAATGCTATTGTGTGATACTTTTATGTCATGAAATATCGTAAGACTTTGTAGAGTTTCAAAATCGATCACACTTTGCAGTAACTGACTAGTCAGCCATTTTGTGTTAAGAACGTTATCAAAATATTTATACAGTCATTTTCATCACACTTTATATATTAAGTTGATGTATTATAATCGCTAATTTGTAATGTTTTTATGTCATGAAAAATTGTCAGACATTATAATGTTTCAAAGTTGATCATTGTTTGCAGTGATTGGCTAGTCAGCCATTTTGTGTTAAGATCATTATCGAAATGTTTATGTAGCCCATCTTCATCAAACTTTATATATTAAGTTGAAATATTATAATTGCTAATTTGTAATGTTTTTATGTCATGAAATAATATCAGATATTATAATGTTCCAAAATTGATCATTGTTTGCAGTAATTGGCTAGTTAGCCATTTTGTGTTAAGAAAATTAACGAAATGTTTATGTAGTCATCTTCATCAAACTTTATATTTTAAGTTGATGTATTATAATCATTAATATATGATGTTTTTATGTCTTGAAATAATGTCAGACATTATAATGTTCCAAAGTTGATCATTGTTTGCAGTGATTGGCTAGTCAGCCATTTTGTGTTAAGAACATAATCAAAATGTTTATGCAATCACCTTCATCAAGCTTCATATTTTAAGTTGATATATTAAAATCGTTAATATGTGATGTACCGAAACACAAAAGATGCATCGTAAAAACGAATCGCGCCAAAAAAAAATAAATGGACACGTTCGGCACGTGGCGTTGTAACCGGTAATTAATACGAACCGGCTCAATCGGCCGTCCGCTTAATTAGAATTGTCACTATCGTTCATCTGGACGGCAACTGTTTAACGTCAACTTGCCAATTGAAGCGTGGCTGACAAAACTGGCTGCTACCGCTTTTTGCCCGGCGTCGAGTCGCTCGAACGCGGCGTATAATCCAACGACAACGTGTTCCCGACCGATACGTGTCTCCTGTTACGGATTACGGATTTCCCGTCTAACATCGGATCACCATGGAATCCCGCTCGATAAGCCGGTTATTAATTTCCAGTTGGTCAACGAACGGACGACACCGAACGAAACTGTATCGCGCCACGAACGTTCGTCACGAGCCATCTTTGACGAATCGATTTTCATCAGTTTAACGACACGCCGGTCGGCCGTTTCGAAAGTTGTTTGATAAGTTGACGAGCCGGAAAATTGATTGACGTATCGTGTTCCGCTATCTGGTACCGTTTCGCGGATTTTTCTAGCGTTCGGAACATCATTTCTGCTTCGTTACTTGACAGGTTACCGATTGCGGAACTTTTTCCGTGGATCAATTTAATTAGCTGCGTTAGTACGTGACCGGCGCGGTATTCTGCAATGGATACATGGGATACTCTGCTATCGATTGCACTGTAATTATTTTTCTTTTATTAATTATATCGGTAGACAGACATATCAAGTTTGATTGGTTGGAAATATTTTACTGTACCCTGTTTCTGGTGAAACAATTAACTTGATGTCATTTCGAATGGATATGATTTGTTTTAATAAAATATAACTTGTGGATAAATATGACTTGTGAATGTACATTGTACACGACATGATATTAACTTAGCTGATATAAAGATATTAATTGTGTTCGCGGATTATCGATTCGATAGATTTTTCGCGGATGTTCGTGAAATGTTTAAGGTCGATGTACACTGGTTCGAACAAGGATAACGATCGAAGATAAGCTTGCAGGTTAAACACTGTATTCGAGCCGTGACTTATGGGGTTGGCAGAGGGGTCGGGGCAGACCCTGCGGATTCTACCTACAAATTTGCTCGTTTACTTCGGTTCGAGGAATGCCACGGGGTCCCACGGGACGAGGGAATACACGGAGCAGCTCGGAAAGAGGATTGCGTAGCGATCACGAACAGGAAATTTATCGGTTCGCCGGTCAAAGTGTGAATTACGTCGATTCTCGCGTGTGCGGCAATAAAATATTCGCCAAAGCTTCATCACATTGTGCCTTTCGTACCTGCTTATTTGCATCGCTCGTATCTCACGCGGTTCCCGCGCGATTTAAATGCGCGCTCATGACGACGCGCCATTTATTAATTTTCTATAATAATAATGTATAAATTATATAATAATATAATATTCTACACTATTGCACGTGAGGCTGGTTTGTAAGATTGAAGATATAGGACTTTTGTTATTTCATGACATAAAAGTATTTCAAAATAAAGGTTATTATACATCAGATTAAAGCTTGAGGTTTGTAGAAAGTGACTGCATAACAGATCTGTTGATATTAGTGGCATAAAATGACTGAATCTTTAAGAGAAGCAAGAGAGATCAGTTTATAGTTGACTGTTGTTTATTAAATGATATTGAATTTTTCAATTGTCTATATTTGATAATGGTTACGAACCATTAATGTAGGCATTTTAATAAAGCTTCGAGCTTTAAATTGATGTACCACAAGTGCTATTCTGTGATACTTTTATGTCATGAAATCTTTGTCAGACTTCATAAGTTCCAAAATCTATTGCCATCAGTAACTGACCAACTAAATATTTTCTACTGAAAACATTAATAAAAAACTAATCACATCCTAGTAACAATCTTAGCAAATTAAAGTTAGAAATAAAAAAGCAACGCAAACTGAAAAATACCAATTATAACTTAACATGAAGTGTTGAGTTTCAAAGATACTTTTTAAAAGGAACTGGCCTAATCTTGGATCTCATCGTTATAAAAATGAATAAAATGTCTTGATAGGAAGAGAAGATGTAGAAGGGTAAACGAGAGCATAAGAAGCGCAAGAGGCGAATGTAGACGCGTACGACCGTGAATTTACAAGCCACGTGTATCGAAGTGTGCACGTGGCTTCCGCTTGGACGCGCGTAATCTCGTTCTTTTCGCTGTGGTCCACCAAGATCTACGATCATTGCGCTACGTACACTTCGGTCGCATTCCTAGAGAGCTTTCGCGAAGCCCAGAAACCGGAAAAGGAAAGCAACATGCGATGCAATTAGCCGTTGCGGTCTGAAGATCGAAGAAATCCTAACCGCGATTGCAGAAGATTTAAACGGGACGAAGTTAATCGAGAATCTCGGCTTAACGACCAGAATTTCTGTCAGCGAATTATCCAGCTTTCATTAACATTCGATTAGAGTTCTTTTACCTCTGTTACATTTTCTTAGGTACTGTTATAATTTACTAGTTTTGCTACATTACGGTTCATGGATGGGCGAAGAAAAATTGTTATGTTCGTACGCACGCCTTTTTTAGTAATGGGTAGTAAGTGCAGCTAGTTTTGGTGTGAGGTTTCCAAATTTGGATTTGGTGTCGCAAATTTTGGAGTTGGCGGATTTTCAAATTTTTATATTCACGGATTATTATGTTCGCCAATTTCCACGTTCTCCAATTCCAAAATTCTTCAATTCCACATTTTCCAATTTCTACATTTCCCAATTTCCACATTTCCCAATTTCCACATTTCCCAATTTCCACATTTCCCAATTTCCACATTTCCCAATTTCTACATTTCCCAATTCTCACATTCCTCAATTCCTACATTCCCCAATTCCAAAATTCTTCAATTTCAACATTTCCCAATTCCACATTTTCCAATTCCCACATTCCTCAATTCCCACATTCCCCAAGTCCACATTTCCCAATTCCACATTTCCTAATTTCCACATTTTCTAATTCCACATTTCCCAATTCCATATTCTCCAATTTTCACATACCCCAATTCCACATTTCCCACTTTCTACATTTCCCAATTCCACATTTCCCAATTTTCACATTTCCCAATTCCACATTCCCCAATTCCCGCATTCCTCAACTCCCACATTCCTCAATTCCAAAATTCTTAAATCTCCAAGTTTCTATAAATCTAAATCTGCAAGTTCCTAAATTTCCCAACTTTCAAATCTCTAAATTCTCCAAGTTTCTATAAATCTAAATCTGCAAGTTCCTAAATTTCCCAACATTCAAATCTCAAAATTCTCCAAGTTTCTATAAATCTAAATCTGCAAGTTCCTAAATTTCCCAACTTTCAAATCTCAAAATTCTCCAAATTTCCAACAGCCCCCCAAATCCCAAAACACCGAAGTCTTCAATTTGCAAATTGCAACCGAAGAAAAGAAACGAAGGAAAAACGATTGGCACGCAAGGAAGATGTACGGTATTCCCGGAATTTGCGTACATCAGCAAATAAGCAATCGGCTCGAAGCTTCACGGATGATAAATGATCGATCCAGGAACGAACAGAAAATGATTTCTTGCTTATCTCGCGAAAGGAATCCCGTGGAAAGAGAGTAGCGGCTCGGTGAAATAGTTAATGCAACTGTTACTCATCGTCTGCTTGGATTTCTTACGTCGATTGACGGACGACGTCTCAATCGACATGCCGGTCGAAAAAGTACGTAACCCGGTCTAGTTCTTTCTGATCGATGATCGACAGCGATCTCGCGGAAACTCATTAACATTTAACCGGTAATCAGCGTGTGATTAACGAGACCGTGAACCAGCGGTACGATAGTGGCTCTTGAACTCGCAGTCTTATCATTGAGATCTCAGGATTTGACGTCGTTAACAGTCGCAA